AAAAAGACTGATACATACAGTGATGGTGCAGAGATGGCAGGAGCAGTGGAATATAAATAATAAGGGAAGGCATTTATTTCAAGTACAGAGGAAAGTCGGGGAGGGGAGGACGGCAGGAAGGGACAGAAGAGAGGAGGCTATATTTACAAGATTAAGGGTAGGACACAGCCAGTTGAATAAGACACTAAGCGTGATAGGAAAGCATCCATCAGGAAAATTTGATTATTGTCAGGAAATAGAGACTGTGGAGCATGTATTGCTACAGTGTGGGCAGTATCAGAGGGAAAGAGAGAGGATGAGATTAAGTATGAGGGAGAAGGGGATACAGGAAATTAGTTTAAAGAGTATATTGAGTAGAACGTCATTAGATATAGTATCACATATTTTGTTGTCTTTTTTAAGAGAAACTGGGTTGGCAGGTAGGATTTAGTTTATCCCTGTCTCTGGCCCACACTCCAGTACGGTAGGTGGCGGTAATGCACCGTAACGTTGGATGCCAACCGCCGATAAACCCTGAAGAAGAAGAAGAAGAAGAAGAAGAAGAAGAAGACACAACATCCCAAGAACGTTCAGGGGACCATCATACCGGAGGAAAGTGGAGAGCGTGCCTTCAGCTTTGTGCGTTGTGCCCGGGCCCGCGCCACCTGCTATTTCCGTTAATCGGATTGGTCAAGACATGCACAGAGCCTGCAGCAGCACTCCGATGTGTAGGACAGAGAAATTGTTTGCGAGTTGGCAAATTGTTTTTTTTAAAGATGCACTTTGCCCTTCTTTTTAACGCTCTTTGCATCAATGTATTATATTAAACTAAATCAAAAGTGGTGAGGCGGTGTCACACCAGATTGAAAAGTGCTGGGGCAAATGCACCTCACCACACGTTTTCTGCCGGCCCTTCCATAATTATGGTGGAAACCACAGGAGGTTGGTGGCACCTTAATTGGGGAGAACGGGCTCATGTTAATGACTGGAGCGGAATTTGTGGAATGGTATCAAATAAATCAAACACATGGTTTCTAGGTGTTTGATGCCATTACATTTGCTCTGTTCCGGCCATTATTATGAGCCATTCTCCTCTAAGCAGCCTCCTGTGGTGTAAGCAGCATTGGCAGTCATTACAGTGGGGCGGCAGGTAGCTTAGTGGGTAAGAGCGTTGTGCCAGTAACCGAAAGGTCGCTGGTTCTAATCCCCGAGCCGACTAGGTGAAAAATCTGTCGATGTGCCCTTGAGCAAGGCACTTAACCCTAATTGCTCCTGTAAGTCGCTCTGGATAAGAGCGTCTGCTAAATGACTGTAAATGTAAATGTAAATGTTACAGGTGTGAATCATTTTGAATAAGATGAGTACTGTGGTGGCAGCATCATGTTATGTTACCGGCAGGGGCTGGGGAGTATGTTAGGATCAAAAGAAATATGAAAGGAGCAAAAACTGGTAAAAAGTTAGAGGGAAACCTGTCATAGTCTTCTGAAAACCTAACTCTGCTATAGCTTTATTTTTCAGCGGAACAATTACACAAATTCTAATGCTAAAAACACATCAGAATGGCTTTCCAAGAGGTGTTGGGTGTTCCTGGATGGTCTAGTAGTCTCAGTCCTGACCTAAATCTGCTTGAAAATCTGTGACAAGCATTGAATATTGTTGTCCATCAATGATTCCCAACCAAATTTACTGAACTTGAATAATTTTGACCAAAAAAACATGGATATGTTGCCCTAAGAGTTGTGCAAAGTTAGTAGAATTGTATTTAAAATGATTCACAGCTGTAATGACCTCCATGCAGGTAATTATCATATATTTGTTTATATAAAAATGCTATTATTGATAGCAGAAATTCGAATTATTGATGGACCCTCACCACCATTCACCACTGAAAGTAAATCAATAATATTGATCTGTTGAATACTACAAAACAGTGGTTGTCTAATTTTATTTTAAATCCAGGGAATTAAATAGGTTTTCAAAGTGTAAGAAAACAGAAGGGTCACTTTACATAACCTTAGAACAAGATAGGGTATAGCCTAAATGCCTGGGTAATACCAATAACTGACTATAAAGCAGGTAAATATACAGTGTAAGGGATGACCATTATTTCATGATGAGGAAGCTGATAGTACTGTGTTGACCAAAAAAGCATATTCTTATCTTACAAGTCCTTCAACATATCCTCACATTGTGATGTAGGCTGAAACAGTACAGTTACAGCATGGCTAGCAAGCCTCACATTGTACAACCACAGATTTCTGGTTTATCATACTTCATTATCCCTATGTGCTTCCCAATAATATCTAATTTCTTCTGCAGTGTGCACTCGTTAACTACTTCCCAAAAATGTAAAAGCATTGGATTGGTGGAGGCATGGGCTAGTGGGAGTTTCCACAATATTTCTTATACCAGTCATTTTCGTTCAAACCAGTGAAGGGGAGTGCACACTTTGGGAGGAAGAAGAGATCATTGGGACATGACCCGTGTGTATCATGTTAATTGTGAGGACAGAGCGCCCTCTTGTGTTCACATTTCTAAACAGCACTGTACCAGAGATTGTTTAAAGTAATGTAGGCAATGTACCACTCAACAATCCCAATGAAAAAGGTACTATCTATCTATCAATAGCTAGGTTTCCATCCAATTTGTGACGGATTTTCATGTGAATACGCTACAATCTGCATAAAACAATATGCGCATTTTCCCACCAGGAGACTTTTTTTTTTGCGGATAAAAGCGCTGTGCGTGATGACGCAGTGCACATACAAAATAATTGTACCGTTCAATTCCCATGGACCGAATTACATTTTTTTGTTAAATGGGTTTCTATCCCATTTTCAACTCTACTGATCGGTTTGTCACAAAAACTGTTGCGCAATATAGCCAATGAGCCCACTCTGAGCCCACACGCGCTATAGCCAACAGCTCGCAGATACAGTGCGTGTAGGATTAAGAGCGATATTATTTGTATTGGTCAAATGGCAGTCAATCATCGATCATCATGTCACCAGAATAACACCTTCGATATTTATTGGAAAGGAGCATCAAGCTCATCACCTTGCACATTCACCAGCCTGTGAAATTCATTATGTTATTTATTCTGTAGCCTAATAAACTGCATGCTTTCCATAGTCTTAGTGGGAGGACCACACAACATATCATCTCGTGACTCCAAGTTTACTTCGATATTTTTGTATTTTATGTTATTTTATTTAACCTTTATTTAACTAGGCAAGTCAGCTAAGAACAAATTCTTATTTACAATGACGGCCTGGGATTACAAATACAAATATTGGACAAAACACACATCACGACAAGAGAGACACCACAACACTTAGAGACCTAAGACAAACAACATCGTATTGCAGCAACATATGACAACACAGCATGGTAGCAACACCACATGACAACAACATGGCAGCAACACAACATGATAGCAGCACAAAACATGGTACAAACATTATTGGGCACAGACAACAGCACAAAGGCAAGAAGGTAGAGACAACAATACATCACGCGAAGCAGCCACAACTGTCAGTAAGAGTGTCCATGATATGTTGGTTATTATATCAATATTTGCGCATAAGGGCGTTTCCACCCACCATTTCTCGCATAATTAATTTTACCGACACAAAAAGATCCCACCATGTCGAAAGAACAAATTATCTGTCGGCATTTATAAAATTGTACCGGCATTTCATGTTTCCATCAGCCCGGTCATGACTTTTTTCATGCGTCAGATAATTAATTAATCAACATGAAATGGTTGGATGGAAACGTGGTTTATGCTAGATTAATTTACTTGATGTTGATGGTTATGGTCATTGTGTGGGATAGTCCCCTGTAGCTCAGTTGGTAGAGCATGGCGCTTGCAACGCCAGGGTTGTGGGTTCGTTTCCTACGGGGGGCCAGTATGAAAATGTATGCATTCACTAACTGTAAGTCGCTCTGGATAAGTCACATTAGGAAAGTAAGCAAAACTAAATTCAAACATCACCCTTCCATCATAGTTTCTTGAGAAAAAAGACGTTTGGCATTTAGTAAATTTGACATATACTGTATGTAATTTCAACAGGAATTGTTCACACTGGCAATTTGATGTGACGCAAATCCTGTTCTTTTGCATATCCGATTTGAATATATTTTTCCTCCATTCTGAACAACCTTAAATCATGGAATCATATATTTCAAGCCATCTTCGTGGGTGGTTTTAAATCAGATACAAATCTGATTCCAGGCCATGGGACTTGTGTCTGAATGGCCAAATCTGATAATATTGCCCTCAAATGGTTTTTAGACTGTTATTTGGCATATCTTGTTGCTTGCTAGCTACTCTGTTGACAGTTTGACAAGAACATGTGGTAGCTAACTAGGTTGTTTAATGTTTAATTACAAACAAATGAGTGAATGTGCTAGTAAGCTAAAAAGTTACCTAGCTAGCTAGTTGACTGCTGTGGCAAGCCAAAAAGGTATCGAACCTTCAAAGCAACTGGGAGACTTCCATGGCAGGTATTGTGGTCACCTAAGCTTGCTACACAACAACTTCTGAGTGAGAAGCACTAGCACTAAACAGCCTACTGCACACACACATCCGACATTACCATGACAACTAGTGTAGCCATGTCAGCAAATTACTACATCTGAACACACACAAATCCGATTTGGTCACTTGTAACTTGCTGTTTGAACAGTCAGTATTCCTAAACGGATTTGATTATTAAGGCCTGCAGTGTGAACAAGGCTTAAATGGGTTGGAGCTGTAAAGTGCTGCGTTGGAACGCCTTGTTTTGGAGATGCACAAATAATATCCAATCACAGAAGGTGGAACCTTTTTGGTCCAATCACAGGCCACTATTTATTAATGACGTACTTCCGTGCATGTGATGAACTGTCATGGCAGCCCACATGCGCATCAAAATTGTGTAAAGGATACCTGTTCAATTAAAAATATATATCTAATGTTAGCTTGTACTTGAATATGATACATTTACTGAGGCTTGGGCCCTCGCTGGCCAGACTAAATGTGCGGTTGTGCCACCAAAGTGTCTGGAACAGCCATGGAACGACACGAAAAGTGGGTGTGAACTTGGGTGAGAAGTAAGTTGACGTCTGATTTAGCTAGCTAGCTAGCTAGCTAGTTAGCTAGTTTCATAGCTAGCTGATAACATAACGTTACACAGTGACAGCCAGTCAAGCCTGTGGGCGAAGGTTTCAAGTTCATTATTCAATGCAGGGGTGTGCTTGTTGATTTCATATTGTCATAGTTTGAGTCAAATATATTTATAAGAAGGAATATTCATAGAATATTTGTCCGAGTCCTCCTAAATCTGCGTTGCAGTGATTAATGGTTGATTGACTCCCATCAATTCACTCTAACCTCAAATGTGTTCTTATTTCCCCTCTTTTGAAGAAAACTTGAGATCTCAACAGGGAAACTTGCCAGATTTGCAGATGGGTCGGCTGTTGTGCAGGTATAAATCGTAATAATTTTTTGAGAGTTTGTAAGTGAATATGCACAAGATGCTCAGACCAGTTACTCGGATGCATTCCACCTCTTTTTCCAGCTTGGGGATACAACAGTGATGGTGACAGCTGTCAGCAAAACGAAACCGTCCCTCTCCCAATTTATGCCACTAGTGGTAAGTTAAAGTGGGGTCATATAATATTTTTCAATGCCCTTCAAACATATTTAAAAGCTGCTTTTAGTCTTCCATGTGGGACGGTTCATTATGTGTGATTACATTTTACATTTACATTTTAGTCATTTAGCAGACGCTCTTATCCAGAGCGACTTACAGTTAGTGCATACATTGTGATAATCTCTTTAGTGTAGTAGGCTGTTACATAGTGGTCTTAGGTCCCTTGGAGTGATTCAGGTCCTTTGGCTAGAACAGTGTGTTTTTGATTGACAGGTGGACTACAGACAGAAAGCAGCTGCTGCTGGTAGAATCCCCACTAACCACCTGCGGCGGGAGTTGGGCACCACTGAAAATGAGATTCTGACTAGTAGGCTAATAGGTGAGAAGATGATTCTAACTCCTATGCCATAACTCTTACTCCAGTCCTATATTAGATTTAGTGCAAATACCATTAGCAGACTTTTAACTGTATCTCTTTTTTGTTGTCTGACCTCAGACAGGGCAATCAGACCCCTTTTTCCTGCTGGTTATTTCTATGACACTCAGGTGAGTCAGTATTTGTAGTTAATGTTGTACTTATGTATGGTCATTACCGATATGTTTACACTGTTATTACAACTGTGCTCTTGATTGTAGTCCTGCGGTGTATATTTTCAGGTCCTGTGTAACCTGTTGGCAGTTGATGGTGTTAATGATCCAGATGTACTGGCCATTAATGGAGGTGAGGAGAGATTGATTTCCTTGTAGAAACATTCACATGACCTTTGTTTGACATCGAGTGATAACGTGAACTATTTCTCTTCCCTACAGCCTCTGCTGCTCTTACCCTTTCTGACATTCCCTGGAATGGGCCCATTGGTTAGTATCTCATACAGACCTGTGTCCTTTTGTTTTTATTTGCCTGTATGTGGCTTTAACCATATGGTCTGTGTTTTGTGGATGTTTAGGTGCAGTGCGCATTGGCCTGGTGGATGGAGAGTTCTTGGTGAACCCAACACGAAAGGAAATGGCTTCCAGCACTATCAACCTGATAGTGGCTGGAGCACCTCTCAGCCAAGTGGGTTAGTACTGTAATCCAGCTATATCACACATCCCTTTTTCTCTACCTCAATATCTATATTAAAATGTTAGTGTGTGGCTATGCCATATTCAGTCTAGGTATAAACATCTTTTGTTTTGTCTTAGTGATGATCGAGGCATCTGCTGAGAATGTGTTGCAGCAGGACTTCTGTCATGCAGTCAAGGTTGGCGTGAAGCACACACAGCAGATCATATTGGCTATTCAGCAGATGGCCAGAGAAGCAAAAGTGACCAAGCGCACCCCTCCCAAAATATTTTCTGCGCCCAAGGAAATGATTGAGCACACACGACAGTAAGACACATTTCTTTCTGACTTGATATTTCTCCAATCTCTTAAGTTTTTTTTAATGGTTACATGACAGCACACTGTTTTGCTTTCAGGTTGGCCTCTGAAAAGGTCTATGCTGTTTTCACAGACTTCACTCATGACAAGGTAAGTATTTATGTCTGTGTGTTTTAGCTATTGTGTTTTGGTGGTACTTTTTCATTCAATAAAATCAGTAACTTATTGTGTTCTTTCAGATTTCCAGAGATGACGCCATTAACAAAGTGCGGCTAGAAACAGAGGAACAAATAAAAGGTATGTATCATTGCTATATACAGATGTAGGACCTTAATTTGAGCCTGTTTGCTACAGCAGGAAAAGAATCCTGCAGCAACAGGAAATGTGAATTATGTGGAATTATAATTAATGGGCATTTTTGTAGGGGTTGATACATTTTTCGTAAGGGAAAATGAAGTCCGAATTTCAAAGTGGAAATTACAAACTTCAGAACCATTTTTAAACCTCAAATACACTACATTTTACTTTTCCTGAATTGCAGGAAACTTCTCCTGCAACAGGGTGACATAATTAAGACCCTACATCTGTACCAAATAAATGTTATGCTATAAGATTTTTGCAACATTCAAGGTCTTGTGTGTGGTCATTTTACTGTCTAACCGCCTACATACAGTATGTCTGTATTCTGTAGAGAAATATCCTCAAGCAGAACCTTATGAGGTGATGGAGTCCTTCAACACGGTGTCCAAAGAGGTCTTCCGCAATCTGGTTTTGAATGAATATAGGAGGTAAAAAGAATGCATGTCTCAGTAGTATTTAGCAAATTGTCATTAATGTCATTAATCATTTCCTTGTTTACCTTGTTTTAAAGGTGTGATGGAAGAAACCTGACTTCATTGAGAAATATTTCCTGTGAGGCTGACATCTTTAAGCCCCTTCATGGGTCTGCACTTTTCCAGAGGGGACAGACACAGGTAGGGATCTGGCGTTATAAAGAAGGGCTCAGAGTAGGCGTGCTATTCATTTTGGGGACATTGGAAAGTTGAAGAGAGGAGAAATGTATTTGCGGAGTCTGATTTGTTTTGGGTTGTTTTTCATTGTATCTTTAGCCTAGTTAATAAAGCCTTTTCTCTCTAGGTTCTGTGCTCTGTAACATTTGACTCCTTGGAGTCCAGTATTAAAACAGACATCATTACTACAGCATTAAGGTAAACTTATACATAATTAATTACAGTGCTCTTGAATGCAAGTTTCAAGCAAGTGTTAAATGTAATGTGTGCATATATAGGTTAGCTGAAACAAGTTGCTCTCCTTTTAACAGTGGAGTCAAAGACAAGAATTTCATGCTTCACTATGAGGTGAGTATGACATTATACAAATAAGCAGGATTCCAGTAGGATTTGCTTATTAGTTTGGTATTGCACAACAAAACATCTGCATGGGCTGAAATGATCTTTTTCTGTTTCAGTTTCCGCCTTACGCAACCAATGAGATTGGAAAGATGAGTGGAATGAACAGAAGAGAGCTTGGTCATGGTTAGTATGTTGGTATGGATTAAAAGATGAACAGAAGAGAGCTTGGTCATGGTTAGTATGTTGGTATGGATTAAAAGATGAACAGAAGAGAGCTTGGTCATGGTTAGTATGTTGGTATGGATTAAAAGATGCCCATGGGTAGTGTGTGGGTGGCATGCCTAAGTTCATGTGACTATTTAAATAATATTCTCTTTCTCTATGTTGACAGGGGCACTGGCAGAGAAGTCTTTGAGACCTGTCATCCCAAAAGACTTTCCCTTCACTATTAGAGTCACCTCAGAGGTTTTGGAGTCTAATGGTGAGTTCTGTGGATGACTTCCATTTTGCTTCTACATTTTAAGACCATTTCTTATTATAAGCTTAGTTGCCAAATCTTAGTCATTTCATTGACTGTATGATGAGCCTCGGCTCTTTCTTTCTCTCACACACTCGTTCTCTCAGGGTCCTCGTCGATGGCGTCAGCATGTGGAGGCAGTCTGGCTTTAATGGACGCTGGTACTTCATGCTTTTGAAGTGGAAAATAAACATGTCATTTTACATTTTTGTTGATGATCCTTCCATTTGCAGTGAAATGTAATACGTTTGTGTTCCAGGTGTGCCTATTACATCAGCTGTGGCAGGTGTTGCTATTGGACTCATATCCAAGGCAAACCCAGAGAAGCCATCAGAAATCCAGGACTACCGAATACTGACTGATATTCTGGTACCCAATATTACTAGTATTTCTCTCACCAATCCTAAAGCTAACTACATTTTCTATGGAATATCACATGTGTACTATAATCATGAGATCCCCTGTCTGTAGAACTGTTTTATTTGTGTTTTCTGTCACAACAGGGAATCGAGGATTACCTAGGAGACATGGACTTCAAACTGGCAGGAACAAATAAGGGTATCAATGCCTTACAGGTACTGTAGCTGAACATCCATTGGTTTCTCTCTGCTGTCGTATTTTGTTGACTGTAGTTATTTTTGCTATAATGTATGCCTCCTCCTTCTAGGCTGATGTGAAGATTCCAGGCTTACCTCTGAAACTTGTAATGGAGGCTATTCAGCAAGCCACAGGTGACATGAAAGACATGCCCCATAAATAGCTATGTAGCTATCTATTCATTCTCTAGAGAGATAAATATCGAAGTCACCAATCCTCATGTCATTCTCATATCCTTACAGTTGCCAAGAGGGAGATTTTGGGCATCATGAACAATACTATTGCCAAGCCCAGGGCTAACAGAAAGGAGAATGGCCCGGTTGTCGGTAAGACTCTCTTGGTTGCTATTCCTTTTTGATTTCCATTATTTATGTATTTTGCGTTTAAGGAATGTTTCCTGTCTGTTGTAGAAAATGTCAGAGTCCCAGTGTCCAGACGAGCACGCTTTGTTGGGCCAGGGGGCTATAACCTCCGCAGACTACAAGCTCAAACAGGTAACATTTAATATTTAAAAAACATTATTACTTCATTTGTGTCTACCCCAACACATGATCTCTCTTCATCGGTGCATAGTGTATGGCAGGGTTGGGAGGAGGAATCTGTTCCGAAGTATTCCCACACAAGGGGTCTGAATACTTTCCATTTATACAGTTGAAGTCGGAAGTATACATACACCTTAGCCAAATACATTTAAACTCAGTTTTTCACAATTCCTGACATTTCATCCTAGTAAGAATTCCCTGTCTTAGGTCAGTTAGGATCACCACTTTTATTTTAAGGAATGTGAAATGTCAGAATAATAGTAGAGAATGATTTATTTCAGCTTTTATTTTTTTAAATCACATTCCCAGTGGGTCAGAAGTTTACATACACTCAATTAGTATTTGGTAGCATTGCCTTTAACTTGTTTAACTTAGGTCAAACGTTTCGGGTAGCCTTCCACAAGCTTCCCACAATAAGTTGGGTGAATTTTGGCTCATTCCTCCTGACACAGCTGGTATAACTGAGTAGGCCTCCTTGCTCGCACACGCTTTTTCAGTTCTGCCCACACATTTTCTATAGGATTGAGGTCCGGGCTTTGTGATGGCCACTCCAATACCTTGACTTTGTTTTCCTTAAGCCATTTTGCCACAACTTTGGAAGTATGCTTGGGGTCATTGTCCATTTGGAAGATCCATTTGCGACCAAGCTTTAACTTCCTGACTGAGGTCTTGAGATGTTGCTTCAATATATCCACATAAATGTCCTTCCTCAGGATGCCATCTATTTTGTGAAGTGCACCAGTCCCTCCTGCAGCAAAGCACCCCCACAGCATGATGCTGCCACCCCCATGCTTCACGGTTGGGATGGTGTTCTTCGGCTTGCAAGCCGCCCCCTTTTTCCTCCAAACATAACGATGGTCATTATGGCCAAACGGTTCTATTTTTGTTTCATCAGACCAGAGGACATTTCTCCAAAAAGTATGATCTTTGTCCCCGTGTGCAGTTGCAAACCGTAGTCTGGCTTTTTTATGGCGGTTTTGGAGCAGTGGCTTCTTCCTTGCTGAGCGGCCTTTCAGGTTATGTCGGTATCAGACTCGTTTTACTGTGGATATAGATACTTTTGTACCGGTTTCCTCCAGCATCTTCACAAGGTCCTTTGCTGTTGTTCTGGGATTGATATGCACTTTTCGCACCAAAGTACGTTAGTCTCTAGGAGACAGAATGCGTCTCCTTCCTGAGCGGTATGACGGCTGCGTGGTCCCATGGTGTTTATACTTGCATACTATTGTTTGTACAGATGAATGTGGTACCTTCAGTCGTTTGGAAATTGCTCCCAAGGATGAACCAGACTTGTGGAGGTCTACCATTTTTTTTCTGAGGTCTTGGCTGATTTCTTTTTGATTTTCCCATGATGTCAAGCAAAGAGGCACTGAGTTTGAAGGTAGGCCTTCAAATACATCCACATGTACTCCTCCATTTGACTCAAATGATGTCAATTAGCCTATCAGAAGCTTCTAAAGCCATGACATCATTTTCTGGAATGTTCCAAGCTGTTTAAAGGCACAGTCAACTTAATGTATGTAAACTTCTGACCCACTGGAATTGTGATACAGTTAATTATAAGTGAAATAATCTGTCTGTAAACAATTGTTGGAAAAATTACTTCTGTCATGCACAAAGTAGATGTCCTAACCGACTTGCCAAAACTATAGTTTGTTAACAAGAAATGTGTGGAGTGGTTGAAAAACAAGTTTTAATGACTCCAACCTAAGTGTATGTAAACTTCCGACTTCAACTGTGTGTGTGTGTGTGTATATGTGTGTGTGTGTGTATATGTGTGTGTGTATATATATATATATATATATATATATATATATATATCACACACACACACACACACACACTACCAGTTGAAAGTTTGGACACCTACTCATTCAAGGGTTTTTCTTTATTTTTTACATTGTAGAATAATAGTGAAGATATCAAAAAAATGAAAAGACATATGGAATCATGTAGTAACCAAAAAAGTGTTAAACAAATCTAAATATATTTTATATTTGAGAATCTTCAAATAGTCACCCTTTGATGACAGCTTTGCACATTTAGCATTCTCTCAACCAGTTTCATGAGGTAGTCACTTGGAATGCATTTAAATTAACAGGTGTGCCTTCTTAAAAGTTAATTTGTGGAATTTCTTTCCTTAATGCGTTTGAGCCAATCAGTTGTGTTGTGACAAGGTAGGGTTGGTATACAGAAGATGGCCCTATTTGGTAAAAGACCAAGTCCATATTATGGCAAGAACAGCTCAAATAAGCAAAGCGAAACGACAGTCCATCATTACTTTAAGACATGAAGGTCAGTCAATACGGAAAATGTCAATAACTTTGAAAGTTTCTTCAAGTGCAGTCGCAAAAAACATCAAGCGCTATGATGAAACTGGCTCTCATGAGGACCGCGACAGGAATTGAAGACCCAGAGTTACCTCTGCTGCAGAGGATGTTCATTAGAGTTACCAGCCTCAGACATTGCAGCCGAATTGCTGCAAAGAAACCACTACTAAAGGACACCAATAAGAAGAGACCTGCTTGGGCCAAGAAACACGAGCAATGGACATTAGAACAGTGGAAATGTGTCCTTTGGTCTGGAGTCCAAATTTGAGATTTTTGGTTACAACCGCCGTGTCTTTGTGAGACGCGGTGTGGGTGAATGGATTATCTCCGCATGTGTAGTTCCCACCGTAAAGCATGGAGGAGGAGGTGTTATGGTGTGGGGGTGCTTTGCTGGTGACACTGTCTGTGATTTATTTAGAATTCAAGGCACACTTAACCAGCATGGCTACCACAGCATTCTGCAGCGATACGCCATCCCATCTGTTTTGGGCTTAGTGGGACTATCATTTTGTTTTTCAACAGGACAATGACCCAACACACCTCCAGGCTGTGTAAGATCTATTTGACCAAGAATGAGCGTGATGGAGTGCTGCATCAGATGACCTGGCCTTTCCAGGTGAAGCTGGTTGAGAGAATGCCAAGAGTGTGCAAAGCTGTCATCAAGGCCAAAGGGTGGCTATTTGAAGAATCTCAAATATAATATATATTTTGATTTGTTTAACACTTTTTTTTTATATGTGTTATTTCATAGTCTTGATGTCTTCACTATTATTCTACAATGTAGAAAATAGTAAAAATAAAGACAAATCCTTGAATGAGTAGGTGTGTCCAAACTTTTGACTGGTACTGTATATATAGCTCTCTCATTCGGAAAGTGTTTTATTTATGTATATATGCGATCGTATACAAATGTAAGCAAGGTTTGAAATGATTATGTTTTAGTCAAATGTTATGTCTGTTTGGAATTCTTGCGGTCAATTTACTAATTATTTGTAATTATGTTCCGGCCCCCTGACCATCCGCTCAAGAAAGAATCTGCCTGTGGCTGAATCTAGTTGATGATACCTGGTGTATTGGGAAATTACAGGTTGTTGTGTGTGGTTGTTTTGTGTCATTGGATAGGTGTGACGATAAGCCAGGTGGACGAGGAGACCTTCTCTGTGTTTGCACCTACTCCTGGTGCCATGAATGAAGCACAGGAGTTCATCACAGAAATCTGCAAGGATGACGTGAGTCCAACCTAGTCTAATTCCACTGTATTGCCTAATTTCTTACAATTCCTCATTTTTATTTACTCATTAAACATCATTGTACTATATCCTCCAAAAAGGCAATTCTTACCCACATCAGTAATGATATGAATCTGAGGATGTCTGTTTTGCCTTGCAGCAAGAGCAGCAGCTGGAGTTTGGTGCTGTTTACACTGCCACCATCATGGAGATAAGGTACACACTGCTGCATTATTGGAGGCTGCTGTTTCATCTAATGTGATGCAGCTACAGTCTGGTTTTTAAACATTGTGTTCCATTGATTGAACATTGGATTGCTAAACGGGTAGCTTCATGACTTGCTGCACTTCTGTCTCCCTTCCTTCACAGGGACATTGGTGTCATGGTGAAGCTGTATCCCAACATGAGTGCTGTTCTGCTCCATAACTCTCAGCTGGACCACAAACGGGTAAGAGTCTAGTCCCAGAATACCATGCAGGGATTACAGGAACTTCAACATATATTATGTTTTACAGATGTTACCAGTTTGGAAAAGGCTGCATGTGTTGCCTTGTTTTCTGTTTATTTACATGAGAAGTTGTATGTGGGATAAAAAATAATCCATTAATAACAATGTTTCAGCTAAAATTGTTGGCAGAGTGAAATAATTGTACACACTGAATTTGTCCAGATAAAACACCCAAGTGCTCTTGGATTAGAGGTTGGACAGCAGATTCAGGTATGTATTGCATTCTTCTGACCTTTAGTTCTTAATTCGCTTGACTTCTTGACTGATAGTCTTTCTCTGATGGAATGCTGCCAACAGGTTAAATACTTTGGGCGAGACCCAACAGATGGAAGAATGAGGCTTTCGAGGAAGGTGTTACAATCTCCAGCAGCAACAGTTGTTAAGACACTGAGTGAGAAACAGAGCATCACCATGGGCACAGGGAATGGCCAAGCAACCAGCAACTCCTCTTGACTCCCACTACCAACCATTTGTCATTTACTCACCCAAATCCTTCAAGCACTGGTTACTGTACTCTCATTCTCTGCTGATTTCAGCAATGATATCAGCTTGGTGGCCATACCAGTTTGAGTTGTCAAATAACAAATTTGGCAGGCATTTTATTAGGTGAAGCATTTTTTGCTGTCAGTTTATCTGTTTTATACAATGTGTAATAAATATGTAAACTAAACATTTCATTGTTTTACATTGACTTTAACTTGTGACCACTCATGCCATATTCCAATATTCTACATACTCATTGTTAGTGCTACAATATTTAGAGCTGTTTTAATTGAAATCAACAGCATTATTTTCCCTATATTGTAATAAAAGCACAGACTGTAACAGGTCTGTATCCCACCAATGCTGTAAACGTTTCGATATTAACGACATAACACTGGATTCCGTAGCCCCTAAGAGGAGACCCCGCGGTAACGTTTGATTGACGTAGTGGAAGAAAAATAACGGATTACAAGATGGCGGTCTGTGGACGATAGTGAAGGGGCCGTCGTAGTTGTTTTCAACGGTGAATTTTACAGTTCGCTAGATATCCTGCCTTCTGCGGGAAAAAATAATCAGCAGCATAATATGTTCATTAATTAGCGTTACGTTTTAGCACATTATTGTGTATCATACTCCGATGTATGTCTGGGACATGCGGGTAGAAACACGTTTGAAGCTCGGGGATAAGAATATAGCTAGGCAACTATTTTAAAGATAGGGTGAACTAGTGTTTGCTAGCTAACGCGTTAGCTTTTCCTCAAGGTAACCATGTCGGATACTCGGCGGCGTGTGAAAGTATACACGCTGAATGAAGACCGACAGTGGGACGACAGGGGCACAGGACATGTCTCGTCCACCTTTGTCGAACGACTGAAGGGAATATCATTATTAGTTCGGGCGGAATCCGACGGTGAGTTGCTAGCTAGCATATCTTATTAGTAGACGATGGCTCGTCACTTGCCTGTGTTTTGTTCGTAGTTAGGTAGCTAGTACAGGCCTCCAATTCAAAAACTCCACATCGCTAGCTAGCTTGCGAACGGTCACCCAACTAACAAACTAGTTAGCTAGTTGAGTTGGCTAATTATTAGCTCGCTAGCTACTAACACGTAACTGCTGATGTCGACGTGTATGAGTTAATCTAGCCAACTACTGTAGCTAGCTAAATCACTATATTGCTAATGCTAGCTGTCTAATGTTTAACGTTTACTTGTAACGTTAGTGGTGATAGTGTTTTAAGATAACTGATTTGTTTATTTATCGATGTAACGCTAACCTAACGTTAGCTAGCCAGTGCTTGGAAGATCAATGTGGTTGAACTGACTTCCTTTGTGAACCTCTTTTCGTTGAATACTTTTAACGTTATATAACACATTTAACTAGTTAGCTAGTTATATTTTTAACGAACATTGGTACATTAAAAGTAGTGTATCCAACTAGCTAGATAACGAGCTAGCCAGCCAACTAGCAACCTGGTCAAATAACTGTTGCACAGCTTGCTATCTTAACGTTAACTAGGTACTAGTAAACTCACTTGGCTAAGTCGGTAGTAAATAAAGGGACAGTTGTTTGCCAGCCCATAACAAATTGTCAGCTAATTTATAATAAATTGTCTTTGTTTACATGAACAGTTTGTCAGTAAAAGTGTAGTGTTCAGGTTTCAGCAGTATTGTCAGTTACAACAGCCATCTTGTTGTTGATATTAAGGCTTATTTGACGAACATATTATTTCACACCCATGTTCCTGAATTATGAAGTTGTTTATTATATAGTTGGGAACATTTAGGCAGCAAATAATTATTTCAGTATGGTAGTCGTTAGCTAACTGAATGCCCTCATGTCTTTTAGGCTCACTTCTTCTGGAGTCTAAAATCAGCCCAAATACTGCATATCAGAAACAGCAAGTGAGTATTCTGCCTCTATCGAGGTCTGCTGTGTATCTTCAGTGTACCTTCAGTGTTTTATTTGCTCTGGGGCAGGTCCATTTATAGAAGTAGCCTATGTATCTAAAGAATTGTGAATGTGTACAGTTGCGGTTTAATTTTACTCAGCAAATAATTGATAATTACAAACCTCGAGTTATGAAAAATAATTGTCTGAACTTGATCATGAGAACTGTCTTTCCCCGCTCAGGACACCCTGATCGTGTGGTCTGAAGCAGAGAACTATGATCTGGCTCTGAGTTTTCAGGAAAAAGCTGGCTGTGATGAAATCTGGGAAAAGATTTGTCAGGTATAGTACTGTGTTTACTCTATATGGTTGTGTAAGTCAGTGTAAGGTTTATGTGTATTACTGCTATTTATAGTCATTTTATGGCACCAGAAAGCACACTTTTTAACTGCAGGAACTACATGTATAGAACATGTCACAACTGTTGGTGACACATGTACACACAAGTAAAAAAAAAAAAAAAAACATGCCCTTGCAGAAGAAAATTGTCAGGAAGCAATTGATTGTACCATATTTGCTTGTTATTTGAATCTCCAGCCCCCAAAACTATGAATAACCATGTATGTGCATTGTAGGTCACTGCTGCTTTTTTTAGGTGCCGGTAAACATACATTTTCTTTGTACGCCCTTATGAGACTAAGCCATTAGTATTTCATAATTTTTAAGTATAGAATATCATGTTATAGAAGTTCGTCCTTTGCAATGGGGGACTAGAGACCTTCTGTTGTTCTTACCAGTGGCCTGTCTAATTTCTGCCCCAGGTGCAGGGGAAAGACCCTGCGCTGGAGATCACCCAGGACCCCATCGATGAGTCCGAGGAGGAGCGCTTCGAGGAGATGCCAGAGACCAGCCACCTGGTGGAGCTGCCTCCCTGTGAGCTGGCCCGGCTGGAGGAGATCGCTGACCTGGTGACTTCTGTCCTGTCCTCGCCCATCCGCCGGGAGAAGTTGGCCCTGGCCCTTATGAGCGAAGGATACATGAAGAAGCTGCTGCAGCTCTTCCAGGTGTGCGAAGACCTGGACAACCGGGAGGGCCTACATCATCTGTATGAGATTGTGCGTGGCGTCCTCTTTCTCAACAAGGCGGCTCTATTCGAGGTCATGTTCTCGGACGACTGCATCATGGACGTGGTGGGCTGCCTGGAGTACGACCCGGCACTAGTGCAGCCCAAAAGGCACCGCGAGTTCCTCACCAAGACGGCCAAGTTTAAGGAGGTGATCCCCATCACGGACTCAGAGCTGCGGCAGAAGATCCACCAGACGTACCGTGTGCAGTACATCCAGGACATCATCCTGCCCACGCCTTCAGTCTTCGAGGAGAACTTCCTTTCCACCCTCACATCCTTCATTTTCTTCAACAAGGTGGAGATAGTCAGCATGCTGCAGGTGAGTCACTGCAAACCAACAGAGCCAAACAGCTTTTTTTTCTTCTCCTCTTCGAGTTTGCCATTCTTGACTACAAATGGAGTGTAAGTCAATCTGTTTATATATTTATTTGACATTTTGCAGGATGAAATCTCTTGAGATACACATCTAGTTTTTGAGTGTCCCAAAAAAAATAAAAAAAATACTTAGTAACAAGAATAATATGGCAACTGTCTAACAATAACAATGAAATAATAATACAAATATTTAAAAAGTACACTAACAGCATAAACATTGTTGTACAACTACTAATAGGCCTACAACTAATAAACTACTGCTACAACTACTAATACAATTAATAAACTACTGCTACAACTACTAATACAATTAATAAACTACTGCTACAACTACTAATACAATTAATAAACTACTGCTACAACTACTAATACAATTAATAAACTACTGCTACAACTACTAATACAACTGCTACAACTACTGCTACAACCACTAATACAACTGCTACAACTACTGCTACAACCACTAATACAACTGCTACAACTACTAATACAACTGCTACAACTACTGCTACAACTAATAGATTACTGCTACAACTAATAATACTACTGCTACAACTACTAATACAACTAATAAACTACTGCTACAACTACTAATACTACTGCTACAACTACTAATACTACTGCTACAACTACTACTAATACAATTTAATAAACTACTGCTACAATTTAATAAACTACTGCTACAACTACTAATACAACTACTAAACTACTGCTACAACTACTAATACAACTGATACAACTACTAATACTACTGCTACCACTAATAATACTACTGCTACAACTAATACAACTAATAGATTACTGCTACAACTACTAAAAACTAATAAATTAAGTACCTATAATATATATACAGTGGGGAAAAAAAGTATTTAGTCAGCCACCAATTGTGCAAGTTCTCCCACTTAAAAAGACGAGAGACGCCTGTCATTTTCATCATAGGTACACGTCAACTATGACAGACAAAATGAGGAAAGAAAATCCAGAAAATCACATTGCAGGATTTTTAATGAATGTATTTGCAAATTATGGTGGAAAATAAGTATTTGGTCAATAACAAAAGTTTCTCAATACTTTGTTATATACCCTTTGTTGGCAATGACACTGGTCAAACGTTTTTTGTAAGTCTTCACAAGGTTTTCACACACTGTTGCTGGTATTTTGGCCCATTCCTCCATGCAGATCTCCTCTAGAGCAGTGATGTTTTGGGGCTGTCGCTGGGCAACACGGACTTTCAACTCCCTCCAAAGATTTTCTATGGGGTTGAGATCTGGAGACTGGCAAGGCCACTCCAGGACCTTGAAATGCTTATTACGAAGCCATTCCTTCGTTGCCCGGGCGGTGTGTTTGGGATCATTGTCATGCTGAAAGACCCAGCCACGTTTCATCTTCAATGCCCTTGCTGATGGAAGGAGGTTTTCACTCAAAATATCACGATACATGGCCCTATTCATTCTTTCCTTAACACGGATCAGTCGTCCTGGTCCCTTTGCAGAAAAACAGCCCCAAAGCATGATGTTTCCACCCCCATGCTTCACAGTAGGTATGGTGTTCTTTGGATGCAACTCAGCATTCTTTGTCTCCCAATCCTCTTCTGGATCATCCAAATGCACTCTAGCAAACTTCAGACGGGCCTGGACATGTACTGGCTTAAGCAGGGGGACACGTCTGGAATTGCAGGATTTGAGTCCCTGGTGGCGTAGTGTGTTACTGATGGTAGGCTTTGTTACTTTGGTCCCAGCTCTCTGCAGGTCATTCACTAGGTCCCCCCGTGTGGTTCTGGGATTTTTGCTCACCGTTCTTGTGATCATTTTGACCCCACGGGGTGAGATCTTGCGTGGAGCCCCAGATCGAGGGAGATTATCAGTGGTCTTGTATGTCTTCCATTTCCTAATAATTGCTCCCACAGTTGATTTCTTCAAACCAAGCTGCTTACCTATTGCAGATTCAGTCTTCCCAGCCTGGTGCAGGTCTACAATTTTGTTTCTGGTGTCCTTTGACAGCTCTTTGGTCTTGGCCATAGTGGAGTTTGGAGTGTGACTGTTTGAGGTTGTGGACAGGTGTCTTTTATACTGATAACAAGTTCAAACAGGTGCCATTAATACAGGTAACGAGTGGAGGAAGTTAAAGAAGAAGTTATAGGTCTGTGAGAGCCAGAAATCTTGCTTGTTTGTAGGTAACCAAATACTTATTTTCCACCATAATTTGCAAATAAATTCATTAAAAATCCTACAATGTGATTTTCTGGAAAAAAAAATCTCAATTTGTCTGTCATAGCTGACGTGTACATATGATGAAAATTACAGGCCTCTCTCATCTTTTTAAGTGGGAGAACTTGCACAATTGGTGGCTGACAATACTTCCCCCCCCCCCCCACTGTATGTGTATGTATATATATATATATATTTACAAATATCACATGGTGATGTTTCTATTAGTTAAAAACAGTTTGTTCTTAACATTTTGAAAAGGGGCTTTCTTAAATTCACTGTGATTTGAATGCCCTGTTTTCTATAGGTAAATTATTCCAATCAGTTGGGTCTTTGTATCTGAAAGATCTTACGCCAACCTCATGATGTACCCTTGTAATTGCTGCTGTTGCTGAAAGGAGTAGTGCGAGTCTTGTAAAGTTAGGTGTTCCTTAATACATACAGGGAAATTTAAGTTGATCAATTTAACAAGAAATTGGTACCTATGCAATGTTATCTTAACTAATGCCTCTTCAGCTCGGGTGTTCAGTTTTAACAGTTGTTGTGACATTTTAGTGTGTGAAGCAAAGGAAATAAAGCACTGAATTTAACTGGCTACATATAACACACACTTTCACACCATTGTCAATGTACATTTATATTTTAGTCATTTAGCAGACGCTCTTATCCAGAGCGACTTACAGTTAGTGAGTGCATACATTTTTCATACATAATGTTGTTGTAACTGAGTTTCTCTATTCATGCTTTTATTTTCCTGTGAAACAGTTTGCCCCATCTGAAGATAAATCGTAATCCGTACATGTATGTGATATTCTGCTGTTGTAAAAAACCTGGAATGGATTAACCTTATGAATGTATTTGAATGTATTTTATTTTACATAAATAGAATGTCATATGAAATGTGATAAAATACTCATGCCACTTTGTTGTCTTCAGTATTGTAAATCGATGCTTGTTACTTCTCTAAGGATTCGTTCTAGATCAAACTGTTTGTCTTTGGCTCTGATGTTAGTGAACAGGTTTGTAGTTGATGGGTCATCTTCAATTTAAGCAGGGAATCTAATGTGAAGCCAACCTACCAGTAGGCCCTGAAGTATGTCTTGGATCTCACGTTGGTAACAACGATAAGGTTGTGGCATGATTTGTTTTTTTTAACTTCCCTTGTTGGCACTTGGCAGTATAATTATACACGTTTAGAAGCTCAAGAGGGACTTGGCCCTGTCTATTGACCCCTGTAATAAATGTGTATTTGGGTTCAGTCCTAGTGCTTTTCAACATGACCTCTCACCTCACAAAACCTCTACAGACCACAGAACTGAGATGCAGTGAGAATGTTAACTTTATATCCCTGCCTTGCACTACAGGAGGATGAGAAGTTCCTAACTGAAGTCTTTGCACAGCTAACAGATGAAGCCACAGAGGACGGTAAAAGGAGGGAACTAGTAAGTTTAATGACGAACTCGTTTTATTAAAAGCATACAAATACTAAGCTTTTATCCCATGAATGTTTCAGTGATGTACTCTCCTGTTTTCCTTCCTCTTCACAGGTGAACTTCTTCAAAGAATTTTGTGCTTTTTCACAAACCTTGCAACCGCAAAATAGAGATGCTTTCTTCAAGACTCTGGCAAATCTAGGCATTCTTCCTGCTCTTGAAATAGTCATGGTATGAATGTGTACTATGTACATTTTAAATGCCTTGTTTTTGCATATTTATCCTAGACATTTTGTCATGTGTTTGGTGTGGCAACATTCTCTCGATCCCTTGAACGTGAAATCCCATCTCACCTTCAACGGCTGTATCTTGTCAGCACATGTCAAAATAAGTATAATGTATGTCTCTTAAAGATAACTTTATCTACTTACCATGTGTCAGATTAATTTGTGGATACCATTTGTCTCTTTCCATACAGTTTGACGGAAGTTGCTATATAGCGTTAGCGCAATTGCTAACTAGCGTTGGCAACTGCTAGCATGCTAGTAGATACCATAGACTTCCAGTCATTGCACTACAGCTAGTTAGCATTGGCTCGCAAAACTACCTAACTTCCTTCATACTGAATGCAAACCAAACAAATTGTATCCATGAGCATCTGATTGGGGATGTAGATGAAGGGCTTCATTGCCTAAATCCTGAAGTATCCCTTTAATCCTAAACTTGAAAAGGTCTAAAAAGTCAGTTAGTCCAGATTGCACTAAGGCTCCTGAGCCCCTAAAGAAACACGTGGATGGAGCTGAATGCACTATTCGTTTGAGCTCACTGTGTGTATCCAGTGTGTGACTAGTGTGTCTCACCGTCTCCACAGGGCATGGACGACCTGCAGGTGAGGGCTGCAGCCACAGACATATTCTCATACCTGGTGGAGTTCAGCCCCTCCATGGTCCGAGAGTTTGTTATGCAGGAGCCACAGCAGACTGATGATGTAAGTATGTTATATAGCTAGGCTTACATGAAATGTGATACTGGTGGGCCAATTTCTCTGCCAAATGGAGCTGTGATTATGTAAATGATTATTTAACCAGTGAAATGTTAATTTATAAAATGCACATTGAACTGTTTCTTATAGTAGGTGTTTACTGTTAACCCAAGCATACCCTTTCTGAGCATTTAGATGTGTCTGAATTCTCTAGGATGTTCTAGGTTTCCTGTACGTGATGCTACTTACTTGTTCATTAGGACGTGCTGCTGATAAACGTGGTGATAAAGCAGATGATCTGTGACTCAGACCCTGAGTTGGGGGGTGCTGTGCAGCTGATGGGGCTCCTACGAACACTGATTGACCCAGAGAACATGCTGACCCCCACCAATGTAAGACCATGTCCAAACACACACACTCTTCTGTCATAACACTGGGTGTAATGACTATTATACAAGAAAACAGAACAGCTAGCTATACCTCATGAGTTGTATGATACTTTCATTACATGAAAGATGAACTCTGCAATATGACAGCATTGCTGTCTACTAATCTATTTTTTACTTTGAATCCCGTTAGAAAACGGAGAAGACAGAGTTTCTCAGCTTCTTCTACAAGTACTGCATGCAGGTCCTCACAGCCCCTCTATTGGCCAACACTGTAGAGGAGAAGAAGTCTAAAGGTGAGGAGGGGGGACCTTTTGTATTTAACTCATGTGATTATAGATCTAAATGGATGTATGCATGGTCTGTGCTATCCGGGATCCATGGGACGTCCGCTACCTCCCATTGAAGTTGACTTTTTAAATGGTTATGGCAAGGGTTATGGTTTAGGGAAGGGACGTCCCAAGGATCCCGGATAGCACTGATAATGTATGCATTGTGTGTATGGACTCTGGTCTTGTGTAGAATTTGGTGTGTTTAGGTCCAGCTCTGTGTTGATATGCATAGCTTTTTGGTGGGCAGGCCAAGAAGTCTTGGTTTGGATCTATTTACATGACTGATATTCATTGCTTTTATTATATCTCTCAGATCTGCAAGAGGGGTCCACCAAGATCAACCCAGTGTGCCCTGGTATTTAACCATACATTATCACAATCATAATTCTCATTTGACTAAGTGTGTCTCTCCCTATTGTAAATGCATGCCTCTATGTCTTCCAGATAATTTCCAGACAGCTCAACTCCTGGCTTTGATTCTGGAGCTGCTGACATTCTGTGTTGAGCACCACACATATCACATAAAGACCTACATCATGAACAAGGACCTGCTGCGACGAGTCCTGGTGCTAATGAACTCTAAACACACCTTCCTGGCTCTGTGTGAGTCACCGGGGAAACACTACAGAGGGACATGGGTTCTAGAATATGGGGAGCACCAAGTGTTGAATTTGTTTTTTCATGATTTGATTAATGAAGCACATCAAGCTAGAACCCAGACCTTTGGACCCTTGGCTCCTGGGTATAATCCATTGATAAATCCACAACCTAAATGTACTGCTTGTGGTGTAAGTAGTTGCTGTATGGAGTTTACTCAAAGCCTCTTTTCAAGGTGTTGATTGTACTGGTTGTCTTTTAACAGGTGCTCTGCGCTTCATGAGGAGGATAATCGGGCAGAAGGATGAGTACTACAACCGATACATTATCAAAGGGAACCTGTTTGAGCCAGTCATCAACACCCTGCTGGACAACGGAACTAGATACAACCTCCTAAACTCAGCCATCATCGAACTCTTTGAGTTCATTAAAGTTGTAAGTTCATATTCACCCTTTTAACATGTCTGGTTACCATTTTACCACATGCACACATCCTAATGACATCTATCTCTACAGGAGGATATCAAGTCCCTCATAGCACACATCATAGACAACTACTTCACAGCTCTTGAATCCATTGAATACGTCCAGACGTTCAAGGGCCTGAAGGGCAGATATGAGCAGGAGAAGGATCGACAGACCCTGAGACTCAACAGGTCAGTGTTCCGTCATCTCCCTCACAGACATGGACAACTGGAATGGCGTTAAAGTGGAACATTTGATTAGTTGATTTGTTTGGTTCAGCCAAAGAGGATAACTTAGCATATCATTTAATAGTAGTTTGTTTGTGTTGAGCAAAGTAACTTAAGCAGTGTTTATTGCATGCAATGCTTTTAAAGCCAATGTTGCATTGTCAAGTGACATACATTTTTTTCATGTTATTTATATAAAGCCTGTTAAAAGTAGTCTTAACTGTATCCAAGCAGATATCGTAGGGATGCTCGAACACTGGACGGGGATGAGGAAATGTGGTTCAATGATGATGATTATGAAGAAGGAGAGGCTGTTGAGAAAAGCAGGCCAGAGGAAGAGTTCCCAGAGAGCTACGGAAAGTATATGGAAGCAAAAAAAGGTAAGTGCCGCCACTCTGCGAAGTGTATGTGTTGAACCCCACTGCTTGTGGATTGGTATGTTCACCCATCTCTTTGCAGTTAAAGAGAGTGACAACAAAGAGAACTTCCCAAAGCAGACCCCAACTGGCAGCTTTAAGTTGACCTTTTCTCATTCTGCAGGGGCTGCCAACGGTGCCAACGGCAAGCCAGCTGCCTCGCCCGCCGCCGCAGCCAGTCCCAACGGCTCTCCAGCCAAGTCGGCCGCGCCACCCGGCGCCCTGGTAGTCAAGGTGAGCTTTCCCTGTCAACTGCCATTCTAATTGCCAAGGTGAGCCATATCCTCTTTCTACCTGTCAATCTGTAGTAAAAAGCCCCATTTTCCTGCCACCCCAGTAGTAAAAATTATCAAACCCAGGGTTGAGTCACTTGAGTTCTAATGTGACCTATGTTCTCGTTGACAGACTGCGATGGTCGGCCTTGTAGACTACCCTGACGATGAAGACGAGGAGGAAGAAGACGAAGAGCAGTCGCCACGGAAACGGCCCCGTCTGGGCTCCTAAGCCAGTGAAGTCGTCAGGTCTTGGTCAGCTGTGCCACAGTCACAGTCCACTGGACAGAGACCACTCCCACCTTGCTACCCTCCCAGCCTGCCCCCTGCTCCTACGTCCCCATACCTGGCCTGTGGACCAGAGAGGTTGAACAGTGCCAAGGTTTCCCTGTTGCTCCGGCAGGGACGCAGCACTTCACCCAAACCTCAGCCGCTCTACAGAAGGGGGAGCAGGGGCTAATGGGAGAGCCAGTCAGGCTAGCAGGACTAGCCGCTTAGTAATGGAAGCTTGATTGGCTGACCCTACAGAACTGTTCCTTTGGGTTGGGTGGAGGGAACTAGGCAAAAAGAGGGGGGTAGGTAAAAAAAAAAAAAAAGAACCTACAGAAAACAAAAGTTGCTTAGTTCTGAGGAGCAGGACTGAACCGTTGAAGCTGGGGCTGCATTGCCGAGGCTCACACACAACTAGCCAGGAATCCTGTATTCATGAGTTTAAAAGTACTGTATAGTTATTTTTAATGATTTGCCCCTTAAGTGATTTTAAAAGGGGAGAGCTATACCTGCCAGTGTTTTTTTTTTTTTTTGCTGCACAATTGGTGGGACCACTGTTCACCCTTTTAATTCAATTCATTGTAGAAAGCAAGAGTTGCAATGCTGGTTTTAAAATAACATGTATTAAACTGCAGTAAAGTCATTTTTGCAGCCCACTGAGTGTCTGAAGTTTGTGTATTCAGTGGCTTTGACTCACTGTGGCTCCCTTTCAACGGAGGTACCAGAGGTTGTCTATTTTCCAGCAGGTATGTGTATCTTGTTTTAAGAGAACACAAACCCTTCTCAGTGGTGCATACTACTGGTGATCCAGTTCAGTACTCCTGATGGGTTGAGTTGATTTTGTTGCTAGCACAGTTCCTGTGGGTCAGAGCATATTTCAGTAGTGGTGGCTAGACCAGCTACTGCCATTTATATAGACCAGGGATGGGCAACTGCCCCCTCCCCCCCATTTTTGTTGTTGAAGGAACAGTGTGGGTCTCAATTTACTGTGGCGTTAGAATATGCAATTTTGAAATTTGGTTGTGCATCAGCAGTTTCTCTTATGACAGTCATTCAATTATCCCATGTTGGCAAAATTTTTTTGGGGGGGATTGGTAAATTAGTCTAAGCCAGCTCTCTAAACTTGTGATCATGGTTGAATTACCGACCGGGGACCCCCATTGATCATCAGAAACTGCAAACATGTCTCCACCCTTTGGCAAAATGTTTGCAGGAAATTAGCTGTAACACTGCACATTTCTCTCCACCCCATGGCAAAAGGAGTACAATTGCATGAAATTAAAGTAGCAGAATGTGTAGAATTGCAGGAAATTAACTTCTAATTTATCTTCGCTGTCAAGAGAGCTGCTAAATTGTTTTGCTCGCTGGGTGGGGGGCTCAGGTCTGCTCTGACAATCTGTGGGTCTGGATGTTTAAGCAGATCTGTGAGCCACTGCGGCCCCTCGTGAGTTTTGGGTGGCCCCTACCCCCCCATCAATTGCCTATCCCTAATAGACATTCCTATTGACAGATGTAGTTTGAGATGGAAAGCATTTGTTGGAGTAGCTGCGAATGCCCAAATGTCTATAGAGCTTAGGTTTGTTTTCTCCCTGAAAAATGTGTACAAAGTGCATTTACTACCACTATCTCCATTCTAAACTTTTGTATACAGTTGATACGTTTTCAGATTAAACGTGACCCTGGCATTAAAGTTGTGGATCTAGCTTTATTTTACTCTGGAGACTAATTGAACCTGCAATACAAATGTGACCAACCTGCTTATCTTTCTGAATTGCTACAACCATTACATTTGTCATATACAGTAAACTCAGTTGGTTTGTGTGCTGATCATTTCCAAATGCCTATTCACTCTTATCCAGTACACATTGAGGTTTGCCTCAGAGGTACCCATGCTTGTAGATTTAAAACAGGATGTATAAGTTAAATTGTATCTTTCCATGCTAATCATCTGTCGCAGACCAGTAGGTTTATCACACCACACGATCTCTGGCAGAAAGTACCGGTATATAAAATAATAGGATTTATTCAACAGCATACATGATATTACATAGTTAATATTAATGCACCCCTGATTCTATCAAGATCTACTTTAATACTGCATTCTTCCAATTCTAATGCACCTTTCACCCCTCTAAAGCGCAGTCCATCTCAGCTTCCAGGTTAATTTACAGTCCAGTTTGACTACGGGGGGTATTGCAGTTGCGTTTACTTCTTGATTACTTCCTCTTTCAGTTTTTCGGCCAGATGTTTTCTTTTCTGCAACTTCTTTTTATCTTCGACAGAGATCTCCTTTGAAGGGAAAACAGGAAAGTGTTTGTCAAATGTTGAACAGTAGCACCACTAAAGCTAAAGTGACATCTGCCACAGGAGCAGGGCTGTAGCTACAGCAAGGGCTCTATTCAATCCATATCGCCAAAATTCAGCACAATTTAAAAGCGATGTCAGTGGAGACTGCATTCACGGTAAACGCTGCATTTGTCGGCTCAATCGGAAATTCTCTTTTATATTGCGCAATATGTAATGGTCCAGCGATACAGATTGAATAGAGCCCTAAGAATAGAAGCACATGGGGGGCAGCAGCACTACAAAGTGGAGACCACATCGTCACTCCAACCCAGATCACCTTGGGTTTATGTCCCCCAACAGGAGAGCTCGCAGGCTGGGAGGCATTGACCCTCTCTTCATGTACACTACTAGCACCACCCCTGTTCATTTTGGGACCATCGTCCTTTGATTGGCAAGGCAGCGAAGTAAAATGACAGGGGAATAAAGAACAGGAACAAATCAACACTTCAAAAAAAGGGAAGAATGTGAACAGACAAAACATCAGGGGAAACCAAGAGAAAAGATTGACACGGGCAGACCAGAGTTGACCCCAGGTTCTTTGCTAGCGTCATCAGCTGAGTTGTGGCGCATTATTATTATCTACCACTAATGAAAGCTGTAACCTGTGACAGTGTGTCTTATGGAGGAGTATTACCCATATGTTTACAGGAAGAGACATTATAGAAAGATGTTACCGGTGTGCTGGGAGTGGGTGCAGGGGGGGCTGGGGGTTCCTCTGGTGTGGCTGGTTTGAGTCTCTGCTCTCTTTTCATGGCCTGAAGCTTGTCCCTCTGCTGCCTCAGATACAGCGCCCTCTGCTGGAGTTGCTCCTGCTGCTCTGCTGGCAACTCCTGAACAGACAGAAACACAATCCATCAGTCCTCTGTCTCCAGGGAAACTGGTAATGTTGCCTTTTAGGGTTTCCTTTCTATGAGCTGTTGCCTGGTTGTTGTTTATTCAGAGTGCATGACAAGCAAGTCATAGGGCCTTGTGTTATGGTTAATCATGTCACATGACCTGAATCTTAACCTTTATTTAAAGCCTTTTTCTTTTTATGTAAGATGCTTCAGCACCATCCTCAGACAAATGTTTTAATTTTGTCTAATTCTAATTTCTGGAAAAGGCTTAAAAGAAACGTTCAAATCTAGGTCATGTGACATGATTAACCAAAACACAGAGCCCTATGTATGTCGTATGCAGTAGGAGAGACTCACTGTGAACGGCTTGGAGATGCCAGCCTCCTTGCGTGCCTCCTCTATCCAGCCCTCTGCTGCCTGGCTGCTGCCCTTCTCCCTGGAGACAGCCGGAGGCTCTGTACCCTTCACTGGAACCCTCACTGCAGGAAGGACCCTTGGCTCTGCACTGCCCCGCTCTGCATCAACACATAACCATCCATTAGTCACACACCCTCTGAAGTACACCACATGACCAAAAGTATGTGGAAGCGCGATTCATCACTCCAGAGAATGCATTTCCACTGCTCCAGAGTCCAATGGCGGTGAGCTTTACACCACTCCAGCCGACACTTGGAATTGCGCATGGTGATCTTAGGCTTGTGTGCGGCTGCTCTGCCATGGAAACACATTTCATGAAGCTCCCGACGAGCAGTTCTTGTGCTGATGTTGCTTCCAGAAACAGTTTGGAACTCGGTAGTGAGTGTTGCAACCGAGGACAGACGATTTTTACGTGCTTCAGCATTCTGTGGGGTCCAGTTCTGTGAGCTTGTGTGGCCTACTAGTACCACTTCGTGGCTGAGCCGTTGTTGCTCCTAGACGTTTCCACTTCACAATAACAGCACTTACAGTTGACCGAGACAGCTCTAGCAGGGCAGAAATTTGACGAACTGACTTGTTGAAAGTCACTGAGCTCTTCAATACGGGCCATTCTACTGCCAATGTTTGTCTATGGAGATTGCATGGCTGTGTGCTCGATTTTATACACCTGTCAGCAACGGGTGTGGCTGAAATAGCCGAATCCACTAATTTGAAGGGTGTCTACATACTTTTGGACATGTAGTGTATATTAACCTTTTAACATTCATGTGTTATATCTACACTACAGGAAAGGCTTCAAGGGGAACAGACTAGTGTAAACTATAAACTGAGGGCACAGAGTAAATCTAGTGAACAGTAGGGAGGGCAGGAAAAGGGAGGGTACCGAGACAGACTAGTAATGGAGCACAGATATGCTGACATCAAAGTAAAGAAGGATGTTTCAAGCACCAAAGTACACTGCTCAAAAAAATAAAGGGAACACTTAAACAACACATTGTAACTCCAAGTCAATCACATTTCTGTGAAATCAAACTGTCCACTTAGGAAGCAACACTGATTGACAATACATTTCACATGCTGTTGTGCAAATGGAATAGACAACAGGTAGAAATTATAGGCAATTAGCAAGACACCCCCAATAAAGGACTGGTTTTGCAGGTGGTGACCACAGACCACTTCTCAGTTCCTATGCTTCCTGGCTGATGTTTTGGTCACTTTTGAATGCTGGCGGTGCTTTCACTCTAGCGGTAGCATGAGACGGAGTCTACAACCCACACAAGTGGCTCAGGTAGTGCAGCTCATCCAGGATGGCACATCAATGCGAGCTGTGGCAAGGAGGTTTGCTGTGTCTGTCAGCGTAGTGTCCAGAGCATGGAGGCGCTACCAGGAGACAGGCCAGTACATCAGGAGACGTGGAGGAGGCCGTAGGAGGGCAACAACCCAGCAGCAGGACTGCTACCTCCGCCTTTGTGCAAGGAGGAGCAGGAGGAGCACTGCCAGAGCCCTGCAAAATTACCTCCAGCAGGCCACAAATGTGCATGTGTCTGCTCAAACGGTCAGAAACAGACTCCATGAGGGTGGTATGAGGGCCCGACGTCCACAGGTGGGGGTTGTGCTTACAGCCCAACACCGTGCAGGACGTTTGGCATTTGCCAGAGAACACCAAGATTGGCAAATTCGCCACTGGCGCCCTGTGCTCTTCACAGATGAAAGCAGGTTCACACTGAGCACGTGACAGAGTCTGGAGACGCTGTGGAGAACGTTCTGCTGCCTGCAACATCCTCCAGCATGACCGGTTTGGCGGTGGGTCAGTCATGGTGTGGGGTGGCATTTCTTTGGGGGGCCGCACAGCCCTCCATGTGCTCGCCAGAGGTAGCCTGACTGCCATTAGGTACCGAGATGAGATCCTCAGACCCCTTGTGAGACCATATGCTGGTGCGGTTGGACCTGGGTTCATCCTAATTCAAGACAATGCTAGACCTCATGTGGCTGGAGTGTGTCAGCAGTTCCTGCAAGAGGAAGGCATTGATGCTATGGACTGGCCCGCCCGTTCCCCAGACCTGAATCCAATTGAGCACATCTGGGACATCATGTCTTGCTCCATCCACCAACGCCACGTTGCACCACAGACTGTCCAGGAGTTGGCGGATGCTTTAGTCCAGGTCTGGGAGGAGATCCCTCAGGAGACCATCCGCCACCTCATCAGGAGCATGCCCAGGCGTTGTAGGGAGGTCATACAGGCACGTGGAGGCCACACACACTACTGAGCCTCATTTTGACTTGTTTTAAGGACATTACATCAAAGTTGGATCAGCCTGTAGTGTGGTTTTCCACTTTAATTTTGAGGGTGACTCCAAATCCAGACCTCCATGGGTTGATAAATTTGATTTCCATTGATATTTTTTGTGTGATTTTGTTGTCAGCACATTCAACTATGTAAAGAAAAAAGTATTTTATAAGATGATTTCATTCATTCAGATCTAGGATGTGTTATTTTAGTGTTCCCTTAATTTTTTTGAGCAGTGTATATGGAGGGGAAACAGTCAGCCAACAGTGTTGGAGACTAAATGTAACAGTATTATTACCTGATGCCAACTTAGAAGGGGCAGATGTGCTGGTCTTGGCTGGACTCATCTGCCCACCACCTCCAGCAGCCTTCATCTCCCCTCTCTTCGGAGATGTACTGTTCACCTACAGGGAAGGCACAGGGCAGCCATGCTATTGCACTACTAGGAGAGTTACCGTTGCGTTGCCATTGACCAGAGGGACAGAGGTCTGGTGGCTACCACTGTCCCCCACCTTCGCCTCAGCAACATACAACAGAGTTGTCACATAGCCCACTTTAGGTTAATATACAGGCTAAAAATGTCATATATTGTAACGATAATGCAGCAAAAAGTGTTACAAGTCAAAGCTTTAGTTAATAGGGACATCAGCTATATTCTGCTTTCTGAGATGACTTTCAATCAAATAATAGAAAATCCAGAAATGGATTTATAGTAATGAGAGTCCATGTTCTAGAATAGGGCTGGATATCTGCCAGACCATGTACTGCTCTGCATTAGTAGATTGATTGAAGACTGTCTAATAATGTGATATGTGTGCAAGGACTGACTGTAAGGAGCAGGCTGCTGCACTCATCACAACCCCTTCTTTTGTGTTGCTGCTAAACTACATAGCTATGGCTCTAAATACATGAAATGGAAACCATTTATCACAGTCTACAGACAGGCAGACAGAGTCATTGATGTTCAGTATTTTTGTATTACAACACTGATGGGTCAGTATTAGGTTCATAACTCACCTTGTTGGTCTGTTGAATGGAGGCGGGTCTCTGGATGCTGACTGCCTCTAGAACTGGCCTATCAGAGCAGCTTCTGGACGTGGAGCCAATCTCCTCCTCTGACTGCAGTCGCCGAGCCATCTCTAGGTCATAATCCTCCTTTGACCTCCTGTACAAACACCGTGGGGAGATATGTTTACTATCAGTAGATTCAGAAGATAGTCGTTTAACTCAGATAAGAGAGTTTACTTTACATCAAAGAACACCATGGTTTTATAGGGTTGTACTAGTGTTTAAATGTGTTACTTGTAGGTGAATACAAGCTGTTAAATAACAGCCATTATTGGCACCATTGATAAAGATGAGCAAAAGAGACTGTATGAAATAAATAAATAAATACTGAGCTATATTGTATGCAAAATAAAAAGGCAAGTAATACTTTTCTCTCCAAAAGATGGCTTTAAAAATTATTGCCACCCGTTTTCAATACCTCACCTTGCGAGGATAACAGCACTGAGCCTTTTTCTAAAAGGTTTTATTAGATTGGAGAACACATTGGGAGGGATCTTAGAACATTTTCCCCAGATCCTTAATATCCTTCGTATGCGCTTATGGACTGCCCTCTTCAATTCAAACCACAGGTATTCAATGGGGTTCAAGTCCGGAGACTGCGATGGCCATTGCAAAATGTTAATTTTGTGGTAAATTAACAATTTCTTTGTGGATTTTGATGTGTGCTCGGTATTATTGTCTTGCTGGAAGGTCTACTTGCGGCCAAGTTTCAGCATTCTAGCAGAGGCAACCAGGTTTTTGGCAAAGATTTCCTGGTACTGGGTAAAGTTCATGATGCCGTTGACCTTAACAAGGGGCCCCTGGACCAGTGGAAGCAAAATAGCCCCATAAAACCAGAGATCCACCACCATATTTTACAGTAGGTATGGGGTTCTTTTCTGATTATGCATCCTTATTTCGACACCAAACCTAACACTGGTGGTATTGAAAAAAGGGGTGGCAATCATTTTGACCCCTCTCTTTCTGAGAGAAAGAAATACGACTTGTTAAACAAAATCTATATCTGAGCAATTGTATTAGTATAGAATATAAATGGTCCAATGTTTTTGAGCATACAATATAGCTCAGTATTTTTCTTTATTTTATACAGTCATTTTTGCTCATCTTTATCAAGGGTGTCAATAATTCTGGACCTGACAGTACATTAACCTACAGTGCATTCGGAAAGTTTTCAGACCCCTTGACTTTTTCCACATTTTGTTACGTTTCAGCCTTATTCTAAAATTGATTCAATCTTCTTCCCCCCCCCCCCCCCCCGCATCAATCAACACACAATACTCTATGATGACAAAGCAAAAACAGGTTTTTAGAAATGTTTGCAATTGTTTAAAAACATTTTTTTGCTGGAAAAAGTAAATGGGTCTGAATACTTTACGAATGCACTGTACATAGTACTGTATTATGAGTGGTATAAAGACACTACAGAGCCCAGAGCTGGCATGAGTCCAAGTAGAAGTCTGCGTGGGACTGATTTATTCATCATGCTCCTGCCCGCAGGCTTTCTGTCCGACTCCCACCCGCTACCGCAAGAACTGGTCCCGAACCCAACCGTAGTCCTGCAATGTTATTTTAGGCGTATGTGACGCAGGTCACTTGCTAGCCATGGTCCCAGCAATTTTACGCCCTATAGGCAATATCAAAATGCACAAAAATAACCTAAGAAATAGGTTCAATTACCAGAAATTCTCACGTGGCCCATTATAGGGGGGGGTTTGCCCGCGCTACAGACAGGCAGTTATATTGGTCCTCTAATACAGGACTAGTAAAGGCCCAGTGCACTACTTTTGTGAAGAAATAGCATATCTTTCATTAATATATATTTTATTATTCCGATTTTTCAGGGGGTGATGCAGAACCCCTACTTCCCGCAACTATGCCTAAGTGATCAGCTTGCTGCCTCTCACCATGATGATCTCTTAATTGATTAGCAGCTTAATTAAACTAGGATGAAACTTTCCATAACACAGGATTTGAAGAGCACACAAATGTCGCAACATTTTCAATGATCATTACATTTTAGTCATTTAGCAGACGCTCTTATCCAGAGCGACTTACAGTTAGTGAGTGCATACATAATTTTTCTTCTTCATCATAGCTGAAAACATGACATAACATGAGAGCAACATAGGTTAAGTGGTCTCCATGCACTGTGTGCTATAAAATAGGCCCAGCTCTGCATGAACTAGTGATCTAATGCCCTGATTAGACCACTTACATCGAACAATGCCTGAAGATGCATCACATAGATCTATAACAAGTCGCTCTGACACATCAAAAAGACTTCAAGTAGACAATCAAGACTAAAGAATGGTGGGTGGGGGCAGCCCTAAGACAAAAGGATCAAATTACATTTTCTCCGTTGCCATGGAGTGTAAACCCCTCAATATTAGTGTAACACTAAGGAGCTTAGTTCCCATGGACACACAGCCTTTAGTGTTGCACTTGGCTTAGCTTCAAATGCAGAAATCCCATTAGAGCTAGAGTGGCTTCTAGGAAGTTATAATCTTGGATGATTTGTCACTCATTGACTTTACTACACAGCCATCTACCACCAAGCATGCCGACACAGACATGGGTTTTCCAGAATGACTAAAATAGTGAGTATACACTAACAGCTTCTACCCCCAAGACATAAGACTGCTGAACAATTAATCGAATGGCCACCTGAACTATTTGCATTGACCCCCCCTCCCTTTGTTTTTACACTGCTGCTACTCACTGTTTATTATCTATGCAGTCACTAACCTGTACCCCCACAAATTGACTCACTACTGGTACCCCCTGTATATAGCCTCATTTATTTAGTAAATATTTTCTTAACTCGATTTTCTTAAAACTGCATTTTTGGTTATGGGCTTGTAAGTAAGCATTTCACAGTAAGGTCTACACCTGTTGTATTCGGCGCATGTGACAACTATTTTATTTTATTTACAGTATGTCACTGATCCTCAGAGGAAATTGGGTTTGCGACCAGAGCAAACACAAACACACTGTACAGAGTGGACAGAACAAACATTGAAATGGATAGCCTACCATTGAAGCTAAGTGCATTAGTCTACATCGCATAATGCTTAGGACCAGGAGTTGTTCATGACCAAATTACTTGACCAGGAAAGCCTCCAGCCCATGGTTATAGACCATCATTGGGAGCTGGAGTTTTTCGAGGTCTAGTAATGTGCTCAGGCAAAACTACGGGCCCTACGTGTGCTCCAATGACTAAAATAAACTACACAACAAAGCCTACATCATTGATGAGATCCTGATGAAAACACTCTTCTGTGCATGTATGAGAGCTGGTGTAATGGCCCCAGTTCTATAAGTCTCTTACTTGAGCACCTCCTGTATAATCTTCATCTCCTGCTGCTCCAGTTCACTCATCACGTCTGCTCCATCTGTGAGACACTCAGGCAGGGCGCCTACACACACAGGTGGGGTGCATTAGAACAAACGGTTTTGGAACGGTGTAGGCTCATCAGTGCCATTGTGTGTGTGGGCACACCCGCATGATGGAGTAGGGTGTAAGCGGGTATGGTAGGCAAGCATTAGGATTGCTAAAAGTCCAGTAACTTTCCCAACATGTTCTACAGAAATCCTGCTTGGAAGATTCCCAGCATCGGGAGGGAATACGCAAGAAATCCTGAATCCTCCAATCAAGACTTCTGGAAAATCTGAAAATGTTGGGAAAGTTACCAGATTTGTTCAACCCTAATTAGGAGTTGTGTGACAACAGTGAAAAGGTGTACCATTTCTCTCTTTAATGACCTGCAGCGCCTGAAGCTGCAGCTCCATGTTCTTCTGCACCATGAGGGACCTGAACATCTGGAAGTCATCTGTGGCCAGGACAGGCTGGAATACAGTCTGTACAAAGGTACAGTTAATAACAAGCATGAATACTGTTCTACGTTTGCTAACCATCTTGCCTAGTCAAATTAATTATTCATGTTTGTACTTGTTTCTTTGGGTTCAGCTCTGCATTCTCTCCGTCTCTCTCCTGAGGCCTATATTATGTGCCTCCTGGTAACTTAAATCACAACCAAGGTCTTTTTCTGGCCCAGGTATGTCCCAAAGGGCACTGCTGGCTCTGAGACTAGGTAACACTCTCCATCAGGAATAGCTCCATCGAGCTGTTCCTGTATCTCATTAACCCAATTCAGGCCCACTAATCCTGTCATAGATCAGGTCTACCTGAGCTCCTGTACGTTTAACTGTCTCAGGATCACATTTTACATTTTTGTCATTTAGCAGACGCTCTTATCCAGAGCGACTTACAGGAGTAATTAGGGTTAAGTGCCTTGCTCAAGGGCACATTGACAGATTTTTTCAACATCAGCAGATGGAGGAGAAACAGAATGCATCGTTGTGTACCTGAACTATTCCTATTATGTATTTTCATGCAGGGCCATGCATTCTTTGGCCATGGAGTTGAACATGATGGGACATGTTCCTCAGTCCATGACGGGGAGGACGCATTTCAAGAAGATCTAGGCTGCAAGTTATCTTGATTGCACTCCCAATCCTATCACATTTCCCCACTCTGACACTTCATATTCCCTACTATTAGCAGGAAGGTACGGGTGTGGGAAAGGTGTGGATTAGGCTCAATGGTGATAAGGTCCTCTGAGATTTAACCTCAGGGAAATGCTTCAGCAAGGTGATTAAGTAGTATCACAACCCTGCTGTAATTCCCCGATGGGCAGTGAGCTGTCAAAACAGTTTGCATGGAGACAGGTAACAGCATGAGCAGAACTGAAAGGAGCTTGCCCTCAAGTCATTACCATGTAGCCCACCTTTCTTCACAGGTAGTTAAATCTGTACCTTTCTTGCTCTTGGTTACTTGCCATGCCACTGAAGTAGCCTGGTCAAGCAGACTGACCGCTGCACTCGGCTTGTTCCACCAGGCTACAACCGAAAGCCCATTTAATAAAATCAGTAAACAGGTCTCCAGGATAAGTGATTATTCTTGTACAAAAAGAACACTGTAAATATTGTTTGTTTGTTTGTTTGTTTGTTTGTTTGTTTGTTTATCTACACACATCAAATGTGCATAACCTAGGCCTACTTGCAGTACAAGAAGAATCGTTTTGGATTTATTCCAGACACCTGGTAATTGGGTTCGATTGGATAGGGCCCAAAGTTAAACGGTAACAATATCACTGGGGGTCCCTGTAGAAACCCCATCCCATAGTAGGCTACCTCAGTTGAGTTTTTAAACTCTGGCACTGTCCACTACTCCTTCCTGACCTGCACTGTGCAATAATTATTCCAAATGACTTGGTTAGCTTCCAGTTCAGTTCATCCCTATGAGGAGACCTGAACCTTGTAGCCCTTGGCTTCATAAACAGGCAACTAGGACTTTGGGATGTCAAAGAGCTCATCTCTATTGTCAAAGGTGTTCGGTCTGACGTCAGGTAGCCTACTGTGTGTAACATTACATTACTTGATGAGTCATCACAAATGAACTCCCTCACATACAGGAGTCATGGCATTGATGGTGCATTAAATGAATTGTCCTGAGATGGAAGCTATTGAATTCTGCCCGGATACAGAGTATATCCTTCACTCTGTTCAGTATGGCAAAAGAAAGAGACCAATAACTGGAAAGTTTCCAGCAACTGTTGGATATCATCATCATAATACAAATCCCCTAGATATGTCATCACAGCAGGCATGATGAAGCAAGTGACCGATCAGAGTGGCATTGACATGCTGTTATTCTTAGGGGGAGCCTTAATGCTGTATCCAGAGAGAGCTCTTGCCCTGGCCCAAACATAGACCTAGGTATTTTCAGAGCAATAGTTTACATTTTCCTTCCACTGACTCTTGTGTAAAGCACTGAAGGCAACTCTGCTACTGTGCAATTGATATGAAATAAAATATCTGTAGAGGTTCTGTTCTCAACCCATTTGCATTGTAAAGCTGCACACTCATCCGTCTACATCTACGTATCTGGCATCATTTGTGGCAGCGTATGGGAAAGATGATCGAGCTTACCTGTAAGGTTTTGGACTTGGCGAAAGGAGAGGAGCATGCCTCCAAAAACTGCTGCTCATTGATGCCAACCTCTTGCATGTAGGTTTCTAACAACTTCTCCACCTGAAAGTAAATGTAGCTACTTGCATCACTGTTTTCCAGAGACAAAACATTTGATGTTAAGCCTAAAACACTGAAACACTTTTCATGACTACCTTTTATTTATTTTATTTTTTTCACCTTTATTTAACCAGGTACGCCAGTTGAGAACAAGTTCTCATTTACAACTGTGACCTGGCCAAGATAAAGCAAAGCAGTGCGATAAAAACAACAACACAGAGTTACATATGGGGTAAAAAAAAACATAAAGTCAAAAAATACAACAGAAAAAATATATACAGTGTGTGCAAATGTAGCAAGTTATGGAGGTAAGGCAATAAATAGGCTATAGTGCAAAATAATTACAATTAGTATTAACACTGGAATGCTGGATGTGCAAGAGATTATGTGCAAATAGAGATACTGGGGTGAAAAAGAGCAAAATAAATAACAATATAGGGATGAGGTAGTTGGGTGGGCTAATTTCAGATGGGCTGTGTACAGGTGCAGTGATCGGTAAGGACCTCAGCCATTCCGCATCTTGATTCAGGTCTAATTTATGGAATTGTAGATCCTTCCAAAATATGTCTATCGAAGATGCATGTTTAATGTTAAATCATCATAATAACCCAATGCATAATAATGTTGCAAACCATTCCAAAGACTGTAGCTAGCTACTCACCAAATGCTTGTACTGCTGATGGATTTCTGTATAAGTCAATTTATTTTCATCTTCGTCATCAAAAACTGAAAGAAAATGCAAATTGGTGAACTATGCAAACTCCCATGCATAATATCTGAATTAAACAACTAGGGTGACACTGCTTATTGACATTCATTCCTAATTTACATTTGACATTTTAGTCACTTAGCAGACAAACTTCCCCAGATCGACTTACAAGACTAATTAGGGTTAAGTGCCTTGCTCAAGGGCACAGAGATTTTTATCCTAGTCGGCTTGGTGATTCGAACCAGCGACCTTTCAGTTACTGGCCCAACGCTCTTAACCCACACAAAAAGTATGGACACCCCTTCAAATTAGTGGATTCAGCCACACGTTGCTGCCAGGTGTATAAAATCGAGCACAAAGCCATGCAATCTCCATAGACAAACATTGGAAGTAGAATGGCCTTACTGAAGAGCTCAGTGACTTTCAACGTGGCACTGTCATAGGATGCCAACAAGTCAGTTCGTCAAATTTCTGCCATGCTAGAGCTGCCACGGTCAACTGTAAGTGCTGTCATTGTGAAGTGGAAACGTCTAGGAGCAACAACAGCTCAGCTGTGAAGTGGTAGGCCACACAAGCTCACAGAACGGGACCGGATAGTGCTGAAGCATGTAGCGTGTACAAATCGTCTGTCCTCGGAAGCAACACTCACTACCGAGTTCCAAACTGCCTCTGGAAGCTACTTCAGCATAATAACTGTTCGTCAAGAGCTTCACGAAATGGGTTTACATAGCCGAACAGCCGCATACAAGTCTAAGATCACCATGCGCAATGCCAAGTGTCGGCTGGAGCGGTGTAAAGCTCGCCGCCATTGGACTCTGGAGCAGTGGAAACGCGGTCTCTGGAGTGATGAATCACACTTCACCATCTGGCAGTCCGATGGATGAATCTGGGTTTGGCGGATGCCAGGAGAACGCCATCTGCCCCAATGCATAGTGCCAAGTGTAAAGTTTGGTGGAGGAGGAATAATGGTCTGGGGCTGTTTTTCATGGGTCGGGCTAGGCCCCTTAGTTCCAGTGAAGGGAAATCTTAACGCTACAGCATACAATGACATTCTAGACGATTCTGTGCTTCCAACTTTGTGGCAACAGTTTGGGGAACGCCCTTTCCTGTTTCAGCATGACAATGCCCCCGTGCACAAAGCGAGCTCGATACAGAATTGGTTTGTCGAGATCGGTGTGGAAGAACTTGACTGCACAAAGCCCTGACCTCAACCCCATCGAACACCTTTAGGATGAATTGGAACGCCGACCGCGAGTCAGGCCTAATTGCCCAACATCAGTGCCCAATGCTCTTGTGGCTGAATGGAAGCAAGTCGCCGCAGCAATGTTCCAACATCTAGTGGAAAGCCTTCCCAGAAAAGTGGAGTCTGTTATAGCAGCAACGGGTGGGACCAACTCCATATTAATGCCAATGATTTTGGAATGAGATGTTCGACGAGCAGGTGTCCACATACTTTTGACCATGTAGTGTAGCTAACGCAGAGTAGATTCTCCATAGGAGTTGAGAAATAGTGCATTGTGGGTAGTTTTGAAGATATCTGGAAATAAGTTAATAAATATGCAAAAACGCTAAAACATAACTATGTTTGCAGTTATAGGTAACCAGATCGTGACTACAACTAAGTCGTTACTAAGTCTTTGACCACACTGTTGTTACTTTGGTGAGTCAAAAGTCATGCTTCCTACATTTACATTTTAGTCATTTAGCAGACGCTCTTATCCAGAGCGACTTACAGTTAGTGAATACATATATATATATATATATTTTTATACTGGCCCCCTGTGGGAAATGAACCCACAACCCTGGCGTTGCAAACGCCATGCTCTATCAACTGAGCTACATCCCTGCCGGCCATTCCCTCCCCTTTTGCCAATTGTGTGCCGCCCATGAGTCTCCCGGTCGCGGCCGAGACAGAGCCTGGATTCGAACCAGGATCTCTAGTGGCACAGTTAGCACTGCGATGCAGTGCCTTAGACCACTGCGCCACTCAGGAGTACTCTTTAACGTACCAATTAAACCACTTTGACATGTTAATGTGGTGTATCATGTCAACACATTTACATATTGATCAGTTACCATACTCATTTGCGTAGACTACCTAAATAACATTGAATAGTTGAAAGTAACTCCTCTAACTTGTCTTACACAAGTTGTATGCGGCAGGTAGCTTAGTGGGTAAGAGCGTTGTGCCAGTAACCGAAAGGTCGCTGGTTCTAATCCCGAGCCGACTAGGAGAAAAATCTGTCGATGTGCCCTTAAGCAAGGCACTTAACCCTAATTGCTCATGTAAGTCGCTCTGGATAAGAGCGTCTGCTAAGTGACTAAAATGTAAATGTATGCGAAAGTAAATTCGGAGTGAGGTTGGGTTGATGTAGCCTACATTTAGATCTGATTTGCCAAACAAAAGGACACCATCATTTCAACGTGTAGCTAGGTGTACTATCATTTATCCATGGTTGATTGGCTCTTCGGAAGTTTAGAAGTAGTCAGTTACCATTACATTAGCTTTTTTTTAAAAAAATAACTATAGGCAGCATTCTGCCTTCTCCCTACAGTTTTCACCCATTAGCTTCTCCCACGACTACCTCATGTGAACTACAATCCCTACGCTGTGTTTTAATGTTTAGAAACGTCAATAATCATCGCTTGCAATACGGCTTTCGAAACATATGGCCCTTATCTTTCATCAGCGAGAAACAAACCTTTAAATTAAAAATACACTTACTGTAGCAGTTTTGCACAGACCAATACTGCTATGGGTGCCTCCATCCAACGAAACTACACTCCGCTACACTTCCCAAGTTACGCTTACACACAGGTGTTCAGAGCATGCTAGACAGCTAATTAGCACAGGTGGTCACCTCTTGTTTTCAGTAAACAAGTGCTGTAACATGGAGATACGGCCATGTGGGAACATTAACCCTAATAAGGTGTGTATCAATTTAACCTTTTGTTTTTAGAAAATGATTTATCGCTGATATGAAAGATATTGTCCTTATGTTTCCAAAACTGTTCCGCAAGTGATGCATCTTAACTTTCAGACCGAGCGTCAGGGCTCTTAACAAAAAGCCCCCATAAAGAAGATACTATCATCAATAGGGCTAAAGCAGTTAGCGTCTATGAACGGGGTACCATTACATTAGCCCTGTAAATAAGATGCCAAATTCATGATATTAACAATACGTTTACCTGTAAGTCAATGTATTTAATTTAACTCTAATTTTAATGTTTACAACGCTTGTTGAAATTAGATGAAAACAGTACTGGTTAATGACTTTTTTCAGATCCAATGAATTTTCCACGTTGATTCCATGTCACATCAGGTTGACCAATTAAGTTGAAACAACGTTGATTCAACCAGTGTGCCCAATGGGTGAACCAGTATTTGTGCGTTAGAGACCTCTCTAACGTCCAGAAATCTCAGATTCAAAATCATATTCACCAGTTCTGTAAGCGTTATAATGTCGATTCGTTGATCACCAAAAATTGAGTTTCGCTGAGCAACTATCTTCACCGCCGGTATGTACTTCCAAAAAAGGTCAGAATAAAAAATGTACAAACCGAAAAAATGCCCATTCGCACCTACAAAAATCACAAATTACTGCCACTAACAGGTCGGAAGAATACAACAGCTCAATCCTAGCACTTTAGATGTTTTTCGGTTGCTTGCACATATGTATTTAGGCCTTTTTTGGAAGTACATACCGGCAGTAAATGAAGATAGTGGATCAGCTCAACTCAATATTTGGTGATCAACAAACGTATTTTGACATTCTAATGAAGAGCTGGTGAATGTGCGTTTGAATCGGAACATTCTGGCCGTTCGAGTGGTCTCTAACGTACAGATAGATATGTACCGTTTCACCCAGTGGGTAACTTAACTAGCTAGTTTCTTTGCTTCAAGTATTAACTTAGCTATAATTTCCAATAACATGTTGGATGAATGTCGCTCAAACATGTGAACCAATGACGCATGCCAAACAACGTAAACAACTGAACTGGAAAATCACTGCTCCCCTCCGTCAACAAAAACATTACGCGCATGAAGCTAGCTACGCTAGCTACTACTACAGCAGAACGTAAAAGCTTTAGCTAGCTAACGCCACCTAGAATTTAATAGCTAGCTAGCTGTTACTCAGCTTGCTAGCTAGCGCACTCAAGCAAGGGTGTCAAGGATGATTCCACCATGTGTAATCCTGGTCCTGAAAACCGTTTATAATAATTTTCTTTATCGTAAAACGTAGAAATCAAGTGTCCTTTCTTACTTGTACATTTGTTTTCCAAGAAGTCAGTGTATGGAATGACCCATTCAGGACTTCCCAAATATCCAGCGATGCTCTCCACAACCCACTCGCTGTCCTCAGCCATGTTCTAAAAACATCCAATAGTGTTCTTCAGGCGAGGAAGGTTAGCCTTGAAATTGTACAAAATGCACAACTGAAGTGTAAGTATACATACATTTGTTGAGATCTAGCTAACAAGCTAGTCCATTGATTGTTATTATCCCTCTCCGTAGCATGCGTTGGTAGCTGCAGAAAATCTGAAAATGCGCACTCATGAATTTCGAAGTGGTCGAATGGGTTTGCACCTAATCGGTCCCTATGGTAACCGATTACTTCTTCTTCGATGGGTTTAACCGCGGTTGGGATCCAATGTTAATAGGGCATTACCGCCGCCAGCTGGACGGGGTATTGAATAAGAAAGTAACAAACAAAAAAACATTTCGGCAGTGGTGTAAAGTACTTAAATATTTTAAAGTACTACTTAAGTAGTTTTTTTGGGTATCTGTACTTTACTAGTTATATTTTTGGCAACTTTTACTAATTCCTAAAGGAAATCATGATCTTTTTACTCCATACATTTTACCTGACACACAGAAGTACTCGATATATTTTGAATGCTTAGCAGGACAGGAAAATGGTCCAATTCACTGCCGCTGATCTGGCGGACTCACTAAACACAAATGCATGTTTTGTAAATTATGTCTGAGTGTTGGAGTGTGCCCCTGGCTATCCATACATTTTTAAAACAAGAAAATGGTGCCGTCTGGTTTGCTTAATATAAGGAATTTGAAATAATTTATACTTTTACTTTTGATACTTAACTATATTTTAGCAATCACATTTACTTTTGATACTTAAGTATATTTAGAACCAAATACTTTTAGACTTTTACTCAAGTAGTATTTTACTGGGTGACTTTTACTTGAGTAACTTTCTATTAAGGTATCTATACTTCTACTCAAGTATGACTATTGGGTACTTTTTCCACCACTGCATTTCGGGAAAGGGGGAAAACGACAAAATAAAACACGTCAACTAAGAAAACCCATCACACTTCTTCAATCACAGTCCACTCCAAAATACATCCCTACACAGGCTCAGGGGCCTGTGATGGGGGTACATTCACCGCCAGGATTTCTTGCATGGCCTCGGCTGTGAAATCAAAGACCCCACAAACGTTCAGCTTCATTCACAATGATTCCAATTTTCTTAGACTTCTTCTCCACTTGTGCTGTACAGTTTATGACCATTGCAATAAATAATACAAAGTCCACCTTTTTAACATGTAGCATTTCACTATGCCTCGGCTGATGAGAAACCTTCACTGGTCGTGGTGGCTCTACTACCATTGCTTCTTCCCCGCCACTCGTTCCTTCCAATGTTCTCACCGCCTCCAGACAGGATACACGCTGGACACTATTTACCCTTGCCACCTCATTCACCTTTACCTTAACAGGGCACTCCAAGAATTCAGGCGCATGTTCACATCCACAGTTGCAGCATTTCCCTTCATCTGGCATACGACATTCTTCCCCTCTGCACACACTTGACACATGAACAAATTTATGACACTGAAGGGACTTGTACACAAAAGCTCTTACAGGGTATCTCATGAATCCTAACTAGCATGGATGAAGTTAATTTCTTTTCTCCGTCCACCATACAGGTCAGTCGACGTGCACCAACCACTCCATCAATGTCTTCAGTTATATCCTCTGCCTGCCTTTATTTCTTGCGCCACCCCAGAATTAACCCCCTTGATAGGCGCCCTGCTACGAAAATCCATGCAGGAAACATTCCACTCCGATATCTTTTTAAGTCTTCAAACACACTTCTTCTGCTCCGCAGACACAACAAAATCAAAATAAGACAATTTCTTGTGACTCTCACCGACTCCACACTTATCTCCAACACATTCCAGATTTTCCTAGAGACGTTAAAAGGATTTCCGAAGTAGCATTGATCCAAAACCCTGACTCCAACCAAAAACGAGTCTAGTGGTTTCCTATTTTCCAACATAGCTTTACATCTTTGTTTCCCTTTTTCTTCGCCACTGTAACCAACTCATTCTCACTTCCTGTACTATTAGCTTCACTCGGCTCACTAGCAGTTTCAAACTAAACCTCAGTTTCCGCCATTTTCTGAACCTAACCAGCTCTCCTCCTCTCAACCGATTACGTCGGTGTTTAGCATTCTACATGTAGAACAGCCGGTCAGGTGAGTGGCGGTGTGGATCGATTTGGCGAGGATGAACGTTTTTTTTCACAAGAATAGTTTGTCTTTTGTTCTATTGTTGACATTTGACATGACACTGATTATTTTGGACCAAAATGTGAAGTTCTGTTTATAGAATTTCTGCAAAATTGTCTTTACATCTGCAAAAGACGTTTGGGAAAATATAGCCTGCCAGGTAATCATCAATATAAGGTAAATTGTAGGCGATCATGTTTTGAAAAAAATGCTATTTGTAGTGTGATAACCGAGAGCCTGTAGAAGTGTTTTATTATTTTTGATCCTTTGTATGCACAATACTCAGAATCCCTGATACTTCTCTACCCACATACCTGAATAGTGATGTAGCCTTGATTTAAACTACAATGCCCGTATATTGGCCTGTGTAGGGCGAAGTTTCCGTGTGCTAGCTGGAAAAACCCCACTCTTGAGATAGGATTAATTAGTTCACAGGTTAAACCACAAGTCATCTGAAATTGATAGTCACTGAAGCGCGGAGACCTACCTGAGGTTGGACTGGACAGTGACGTGTACAGTAGGCTCTGAATAAAACCACAACACATACATCAGAACATTTTTTATTAAGAGTAAACATTAAATGTATCAATTCGATATCGGCATCAAGGTTATACAATAAATATACACTCCTTTTGTATTTTGAAATATATTGTTAAAAGAAGGCTGTCTATTGTACTTTAGGCCTACAGTTCATAAAGGCAGGGCATGCAACAGTGAGCATGCCAAAATTGAGCAAAAAATGTGTATTGTATTATGCATAAGAACACATTTGTATTGCATAACTTACTCTGCTTATTTGTACATTTGGAAACAGAGATGGTGTAATGTACACTGAACAAAAATATAAACGCAACATTTAAAGTGTTGGTCCCATGTTTCATGAGCTGAAATAAAAGATCCCCAACATTTTCCATACACACACAAATATTATTTATCTCAAATTTTGGGAACAAATTTGTTTGCATCCCTATTAGTAAGTAATTCTCATTTGACAAGATAATCCATTCACCTGACAGGTGTGGCATATCAAGAAGCTGATTAAACAGCATGATCATTACATAGGTGCACCTTGTGCTGGAGACAATAAAAGACCACTCTAAAATACAGTTTTGTCACACAATACTATGCCACAGATGCTGACTTCAGGAATGTCCACCAGAGCTGTTGCCAGAGAATTTAATGTTAATTTCTCTACCAAAAGCCGCCCGCCAATGTCGTTTTAGAGAATTTGGCAGTACGTCCAACCGGCCTCGCAACCGCAGACCACGTGTATGGCATCGTGTGGGTGAGTGGTTTGCTGATGTCAACGTTGTGAACAGAGTGCTCCATGGTGGCGGTGGGGTTATACTATGAGCAGGCATAAGCTATGGACAAAATTACATTTTATCGTTGGCAATTTGAATGCACAGAGATACCTTGATGAGATCCTGAGGCCCATTGTTGTGCCATTCATCCACCGCCATCACCTCATGTTTCAGCATGATAATGCACAGCCCCATGTCACAAGGATCTGTACACAATTCCTGGAAGCTGAACATGTCCCAGTTCTTCCATGGCCTGAATACTCACCAGACATGTCACCCATTGAGCAAGTTTGGGATGCTCTGGATCGATGTGTACGACAGCGTGTTCCAGTTCCTGCCAATATCCAGCAACTTTGCACAGCTATTAATGAGGAGCGGAACAACATTCCACAGGCCACAATCAACAGCCTGATCAACTCTATGCGAAGGAGATGTGTCGCGCAGCATAAGGCAAATACATGGTGGTCACACCAGATACTGACTGGTTTTCTGATCCATGCCCCTACCTTTTTAAAAAAGGTATCTGTGACCAACAGATGCATATCTGTATTCCCAGTCATGTGAAATCCATAGATTAGGGCCATTTATTTCAATTGACTGATTTCCTTATATGAACTGTAACTCAGTAAAATTACATGTTGCGTTTTATCTTTTTGTTCAGTACATATTGTCCTCCAGAGGGCAGTCATTGTACTGTAATAGACAGTGGTGAAATGAATGGTCATGTTCGAGAGCGTCAAAACCGTGATGTATTATGGGTAATTTGTGATTTTTCTGACTGATCTACAAATAATGAGCCGTTATTTACGACGCAATGTGATTTGTAGACCAGTCAGTCGGCAGTCACCTACACTGTCTGCTGCAATGTTGAACCAGCCCAATCAATGTCTTCACCACAGGAGGTTGGTGGCACCTTAATTGGGGAGGACAGGCTTGTGCTAATGGCTAGAGCGGAATGGGTGGAATGGTATCAAACACATGGTTTAATGCCATTCCATTTGCTCGGTTCTAGCCATTATTATGAGCCTTTGTCCCCTCAGCAGCCTCCACTGGTCTTCAGTGTGTTGTGATGCAATGTCCTTGTTTAATTAACTGTAAATCACCTTGACCACAGTGGTATTCTTCAAGCTATTATTAGAATATTACAGCCTCCAGAGTGGCGCAGCGGTCTAAGGCGAGGCATCACTACAAACCCGGGTTCGATCCCGGGTTAGCGGAGGGTTTGGCCTGCAGGGATGTCCTTGTCCCATCGCGCTCTAGCGACTCCTGTGGCGGGCCAGGGCACATGCACGCTGACACGCTCTGCAGTTGTACGGTGTTTCCTCCGACACATTGGTGCGGCTGGCTTCCGGGTTAAGCGAGCAGTGTGTCAAGAAGCAGTGCGGCTTGGCAGGGTTGTGTTTCGGAGGACGCATGGCTCTCGACCTTCGCCTCTCCCGAGTCCGTACAGGAGTTGCAGCGATGGGACAAGACTAACTACCAATTGGATATCACGAAAACGGGGTAAAAAATGAATATTACAATCCTACCTTTTTAAATGAACTCATTTACCAGTCAGTAGTAGAGTATGACCTACTGTGGATGTAGAAATCTAATGTAACATTTTGAAAAACTACACAGGAGTCTATTCTAATCAAATGTAGGCTGTCTAATGCACAAGTGATGATGAGGACCGAGGCTATTCCTTCATCTTTACTTTAATACTTTGTATTTCAGACGTCTTTTGTGCCTGTTTGCAGGTGAGAGATGTAGCCTTTCCTCAAACTAACTCTAGGTGGCAACAGTTAGTCAGGGACAGTTTATACTGTAGGTTGTATTTGGGACACCCAAAATTTGGTGTGCTCTGATCTGTAATGAATGGGTTCGATGTATAGGTTAGGAAATGTTCATCCCAGAATTGCTACATCAAGAGTAATACAGTGACTGAAGGTTTGCCAGCAATTGAAGAAGAAAACATGTTTCGTGTTATTCCTAACCAGATAATTGACAGTCAAAATTGATGCACTCCTAAAACAATATTAAAAATAGCCTACTCTGGACTGTTGCACCAAAAGCAGTCCGATGCCTTCGACTACCTCTTTTTGACATGAGGACATACAGGTAACTGCCAAAATCAAGGAAACACTTGAGTAAATGTGGGATGCAAAGTATATATATTGAAAGCAGCTGCTTCCACACAGGTGTGGTTCCTGGGTTAATTAAGAAATTAAAACATCCCATCATGCTTAAGGTCATGTATACAAATGCCCAGTTGCCCATTATTTTGGCTACCATGGCTAGAAGAGATCTCAGTGACATTGAAAGAGGGGTCTCAAAGGAGCATAGGGGGTTTAAAGGGTGTGTCTCTCAGTCATCGGATCTCAACCCAATTGAACACTTTTGGGAGATTCTGGAGTGGCGCCTGAGACAGCGTTTTCCACCACCATCAACAAAACACCAAATTATGGAATTTCTCTTGGAAGAATGGTGTTGCATCCCTCCAATAGAGTTCCAGACGAATGTCGAATCTATGCCAAGGCTCATTGGCGCTGTTCTGGCAGCCCTATTAAGACACTTTGTTGATGTTTCCTTTATTTTGGCAGTTACCTGTAGTTAAAAGGGTAAATTGTTGTACAGATATTTACTGTCAGATTAAACTATTTTAAGAACATTGTCTGGCACAAGTGCAGTGGACATCATAGATGTGTTAATGCTACATTTATGTACTGGTTAACGCTGACAAAATATTATTAATATTTTCAGGAAGTAAGTGCATTGTTATTTTTTCAATATACTATGAATATTTTTCCTGTATCAAAATATGATAGAACAGAACCCCAGTTATAAAATGTGTGAAGAGAACCACCTGTAAACATGGAGAAAGTATTCTCTCATTATATTACTGTAAAAAGACGATGAAAAGACAGATGAAACATAATTAATAGAAGTGTAATGCCCATCAGATGCCACAGATAGGCCTATTACAGTATTTAGTCATTGGTGTGACATGTTCATAAAAAGATGTTGACAACTCCTGTAGTTGATCATCTTTGATGATCATGTGCAAAGTTTGTATCATGCGGGTGGTGTAAAGTGTTGCTGTGGTTACTTTCTGGAACTGGAAATGGTGTTTAGCAGTCTTTAAAAATGCATGCTATTGATCTTACTGACTGACATCCCCTCCAACTGCTTTTTTCAGTATCTGTTCAATAAGTCAACATCTGTTTTTAAAGAGAGCTACAGTTGTCCCACTGGTTAAACACCTTTTTCCAGCTGAGTTATACCAAATAAACCCAATTATTCATGAAGACCTTGGGAATCTTTGAACAATATTCCATTAGGTAAAATCGTTGTCCTGTCTTGTAACTTTACCAAACAAATACCTTAGACCATGGATGGGCAACGTTGATAGGGGTGGGGGCCACAAAAACATCTGAACTCCTTATGGGGGGCCACAGAGGCTGAAATTATATGTTTTAGAGTTAATTTCCTGCAATTCTATACAAATTTGCCATGCGGCGTAGAGAAAATGTTACAGTTTTAAAGCAAGTTTGCTGCAAATCTACACATTTTGCCATGGGGCGGAGAGAAAGTTTTTCAATTTTATAACTAATTTCATGCAATTCTACTCATTTTGTCATGGGGCGGTGAGAAAAATGTGCAGTTTTAGAGCTAATTTCCTGCAAATCTACACATTTTGCCATAGGGTGGAGAGAAATGTTAGCAGTTTTTAATATGAAACCTGACTGAGAGTGACTAGCAAAATCAATGGAGGCCCCCCAGTCGGTAATTCAACCATGATTACTAAAAGTTTAGGTAGCTGGCCGCAAGACTAACTTACAAGAAAACACATTTTAGCTGACATGGGCTAATTGAGTGACTGTCAGTGACTGACATAACAATATAAAAACTGCTGATGCACAACCAAATTTCACCTTGTGTATTCTACTATTCTAACTCAACAGTAAATTGAGATCCTGACAGAGTTTTAAAAAAATTATTAAAAAATTGATCCGTGGGCCTACAAAAGGGGGCCCGCCAGTTGCCCATCTCTGCCTTAGACCTTAAAGGGCAGTTCAGCTACTTCCAATGTTAGTATGCAATTGACCTCGGCAGTTGGTATAGTATAGTCCAGGGACATTTTGTTTTTCTAGTGGTGGTTTTCAATACTATCCAGGAAGCAAGGTACTCACCTTTTGAGTACAGAAATGTACATTTGACAAATAATTAATAATAGATACATTATTTGATCATGTTAGAAACATAACAGCCCTAAATCTCTATTAAAAGTTAAATATCTAGTTCTACCCTTTTGAATGTTTCCAACGAAGAAAATATACAGAATAGAAGACAATGCAACTTTTACTTAAAATTGGATGCTGGAAATTGAGTAAAGATTCTGAGATCAACCCTGGTCATGATGATATTAAACATAATCAAGTATACATTCTGGTTTAGACCAAAACAGGATTTTAGACGTGATACCAAAATAGATGGATGCCAATGGGGCATAATTGTCTGTACTCTGCAACAATAAACATCCAATAGATGTCATTAGCTTAGGAGTCAGATGAGGTCATGTTTCTGGCATTCTTCTTTCCCATTCACTTCATTTGATCAGATGTGGTCCAACAGACAGATGGCCCCCGTTCATTTGGTCGAGGCTGGAGGCATGCTGCACACCAGGTAAACACCTTTTGGAGGATAGATTTGTATAGGATATCTCCACACTACTGTCCATGCAGCTCCAACCTGTTTTGGCCAAAGAGGGTTTTAAAGGGTTGTGATGAATGACGTCATTATTGGCAAAATTGATTAAATGATTAACTATATTTACTGAGGTTCGGCATTCAATAGAAAATCAATTTATTTGATCTGATCCCACGAATGCCTTTTGTAAGAAACAGTCAGGATGTAATAAGCAGAAGGTTGAATAGAAGAACAAATGACCTCCAAGTCCTATATTAGGTCCACAGTGTCCGATTTCAGCATTAAACGGTTATTTTTCTCTTAAAGCCTGCATAAATCAGTCTTGTAATGCACCACGTCTTTGGATTTACAGGGAGCCATTGGGACTCTCCTTACTCCCACTGCTCTCTGTTGGTTGAGCGATTTTGAGATGTGCCAGTTGGTTGAGCTGGTGCTTGTTGCAGACTGGGATCTTGTTAGCCTGCAGGCTCTTGGTGTGGCGCGAATACCAGTCCCGCTCGAACGCAGCCCTCACCTGTTCCACCAACGTTGAGTTCTTCTCCTTCACCCCCTCCGCCTGATTGATCACGATGCCTGCTCCAGCGTTGAACGTAAACTCATTCCCCACCCAGTCAAAGTTGCCTGTGGGACAACAGACACCCGTCAAAATATATAATCAGAAATATAGATTCAAAGGTACTAGCCCAAGAGTCAACCCACCTCACAAGCAAACAAATCAATCCACCAACCAGTAGCTAGACCAATAATTGAATCAACAAATCAACCATTCGCAAAATAGTTATTTTCATCTGAAATTAATGCAAGTGAACTCACCTATGTACACAGCACTGTCTGTCACCATGAATCTGTTATGGTTGATTCCCTGTAGCGTGCCATCTCTCTGCTCTCTGGGGCTGAAGAACTTCTGCACAAAACACACAAGGACTGGCTTAGCAGTAGTGATGAATGACAAGGACTGGCTTAGCAGTAGTGATGAATGACAAGGACTGGCTTAGCAGTAGTGATGAATGCATACATTTTACATGACGTACAGTAGGTTTGCAGGTACAGTAGAGATGAATACGTTTTACATTACTTACAGTAGAGATTAATACGTTTTACATTACTTACAGTAGAGATGAATACGTTTTACATTACTTACAGTAGAGATGAATACGTTTTACATTACTTACAGTAGAGATGAATACGTTTTACATTACTTACAGTAGAGATGAATACGTTTTACATTACTTACAGTAGAGATGAATACGTTTTACATTACTTACAGTAGAGATGATTATATACAGTGAGCTACAAAAGTATTGGGGCTGTGACACATTTGTTGTTTTAGCTCTGTACTCCAGCACTTTGGATTTGATTATTTTGTGGCCAATAGAAAGGAATGGTAAATAATATATTGTCATTTTAGAGTCACTTTTATTGTAAATAAACAATTCTACATTAATGTGGATGCTACCATGATTACGGATAGTCCAGAATGAATCGTGAAAAATGATGAGTGAGAAAGTTACAGATGCACAAATATATACCCCCCCCCCCCCCCCCCCAAACAAAATGTTATTGTAATGGTGAGAGGTTAGCATGTCTTGGTGGTATGATATTTGTGTGTCTAAATTTCTCACTCATCATTATTCACGATTCATTCAGGACTATCTGTAATCATGGTAGCATCCATATTCATGAAGAAATGTTTAGAAACATATTATATTCTTATTTACAAAAAAAAAGTGACTCCAAAATGACACAATACATTACTTACCATTCGTTTCTATTGGGCACAAAATAATCTGAAACACAACCAAAACAAACAGCAAATGCATCCAACAAGTTTGTAGAGTCACAAGCTTGATGTAATCATTGTGTGCTAGAAATATGGTACCAAATACTAAAACTTTGACTACTTTAATACACATACGTGAATTTGTCTCAATACTTTTGGTCCCCTAGAATGGGGACTATGTACAAGAAGTGCTGTAATTTCTAAACGGGTCACCGTATATGGATGGAAATACCCTCAAATTAAAGCTGACAGTCTGCACTTTAATCTCATAGTCATTGTATCATTTCAAAACAACAACAAAATGTGTCTCAATACTTTTGTAGCTCACTGTAGGTATAATGAGCCTGGTAATGTAGGTTTGATGATTCTGTATAACGTCAGTTTGTATCCAGGTAATGAGGATGTATGCGTGTGGTGTCCGATAATGTAGGTGCACACTCACAGCCTCCATTGAACAGTTGGCCAGCTCCATACACAGGGTCTTCAGGGACCACACAAAGTTAAAGGTCAGGGGATGCGTTTGCTCCCAGCAGCTTACTAACAGACGCACTTCGATGTTCCTCAGGATCAAGGCCTCCCGAAGCATCCCGTCTATACGTGACCAGTATCTGCCAAGGTAACAAAGAGTTACACACTAATCTGTTTGGTAATTACAGGTAATTATACACAGTTACACAGTTTTATCCTATCGGTTTCATTCTAGCAGTTGTCATTGTATAAATCGGCAAACAATACAACACTAACAATAAGGTGATAGGTGCTGTCAGTGTTAACAAATTGCTCACCTGTGAGCATTCCTGTTAGTGAGAGGCAGGTAGTCTGTAATGGATATGTAGATGAACTTCTTGGCCTTTTGGATCACGTAGGATATGGCGTCAAGGTCTCTGGTCCTGTCTTTAGGGCAGAAGACATCTGGAGAGCTCTGTCACAAGATAAGACTTTTAAATCAGTAGAGGGTAGAGAACGGAGGCCCTCATGTCAATGCCAGGGCTATACAGATGCAATCAATCATTGTCATCAAATCATCATCATCATCATCATCGTCGTCATCATCACCACCACCTCTTAGAGCATATCTTTGACCATTAGTATTCCAACAGCATTGCTACCTTCTTTCTACTTGTCTCTAACTGATCCTGTCTCTGTTCTCTATTTCTTGATATATAATAACAATAATAATAATATAATACATTTAATTTGTAAAGGTCTTTTTCTCACACCCAAGGTGCTAAAATGTTTTAACTATCCCAAAAAACAGACCATAGAACACAGACAACAATCAAAGCTACAGTTGAAGTTGGAAGTTTACATACACCTTAGCCAAATACATTTAAACTCAGTTTTTCACAATTCCTGACATTTAATCCTAGTAAAGATTCCCTGTTTTAGGTCAGTTAGGATCACCACTTTATTTTAAGAATGTGAAATGTCAGAATAATAGTAGAGAGTGATTTATTTCAGATTTTATTTATTTCATCACATTCCCAGTGGGTCAGACGTTTACATACACTCAGTTAGTATTTGGTAGCATTGCCTTTAAATTGTTTAACTTGTGTCAAACGTTTCGGGTAGCCTCCCACAAGCTTCCCAAAATAAGTTGGGTGAATTTTGGGCCATTCCTCCTGACAGAGCTGGTGTAACTGAGTCAGGTTTGTAGGCCTCCATGCTCGCAGTTCTGCCCACAAAGTTTCTATAGGATTGAGGTCAGGGCTTTGTGATGGCCACTCCAATACCTTGACTTTGTTGTCCTTAAGCCATTTTGCCACAACTTTGGAAGTATGCTTGGGGTCATTGTCCATTTGGAAGACCCATTTGCGACCAAGCTTTAACTTCCTGACTGATGTCTTGAGATGTTGCTTCAATATATCCACATAATTTTCCTTCCTCATGATGCCATCTATTTTGTGAAGTGCACCAGTCCCTCCTGCAGCAAAGCACCCCCACAGCATGATGCTGCCACTCCGTGCTTCACGGTTGGGATGGTGTTCTTCGGCTTGCAAGCATCCCCTTTATCCTCCAAACATAACGATGGTCATTATGGCCAAACAGTTATATTTTTGTTTCATCAGACCAGAGGACATTTCTCCAAAAAGTACGATCTTTGTCCCCATGTGCAGTTGCAAACCTTAGTCTGGCTTTTTTATGGCGGTTTTGGAGCAGTGGCTTCTTCCTTGCTGAGCGGCCTTTCAGGTTATGTTGATATAGGACTCGTTTTACTGTGGATATAGATACTTTTGTACCGGTTTCCTTCAGCATCTTCACAAGGTCCTTTGCTGTTGTTCTGGGATTGATTTGCACTTTTTGCACCAAAGTACGTTAATCTCTAGGAGACAGAACGCGTCTCCTTCCTGAGCGGTATGACAGCTGCTTGGTCCCATGGTGTTTATACTTGATTACTATTGTTTGTACAGATGAACTTGGTACCTTCAGGCGTTTGGAAATTGCTCCCAAGGATGAACCAGACTTGTGGAGGTCTACAATTTTTTTTCTGAGGTCTTGGCTGATTTCTTTTGACTTTCCCATGATGTCAAGCAAAGAGGCACTGAGTTTGAAGGTAGGCCTTGAAATACATCCACAGGTACACCTCCAGTTGACTCAAATGTCAATTAGCCTATCAGAAACTTCAAAAGTCATTTTCTGGAATTTTCCAAGCTGTTTAAAGGCACAGTCAACTTAGAACCTAAACTTAAACTTCTGACCCACTGGAATTGTGATACAGTGAATTAAAAGTGAAATAATCTGTCTGTAAACAATTGTTGGAAAAATGTATTGTGTCATGCACAGAGTAGATGTCCTAACTGACTTGCCAAAACTATAGTTTGTTAACAAGAAATGTGTGGAGTGGTTGAAAAACAAGTTTTAATGACTCCAACCTAAGTGTATGTAAACTTCCGACTTCAACTGTATATACAGGTCTGGAGGACATGAGAACAGAATTAAGAGCTTTTCTGAACAGCACGGTCTTGAGCTGTGCATTGAAGGACGACAGAGACTCTGCAGCCCTAATACTGTCTGGAAGTGTGTTCCACAGCCGCAGAGCCGCGCAACTGAAAGCCCTGTCACCCATAGTTTTTAGTCTGCTGCGGGGCGGCTGAAGGAAGACTGACCCCCCAGAATTACTTCGCTTCGAGTGTACTTTTGTGTCCTTGGAGTATGTTATTTTGTCTTGAAAAGGTGTGCTGTGTGTGTGTTTGTATGCTACAGTAGGCCCACTTTCAGAGAAATCTACAGTATATTATCAGCAGAGAGAGAATGTGTGTGATGAGAACAATGACGGATCACAGTTCCATGTTATCAATACTTCCGATTGATGAACGTTTCCTCTGCTTTTCAGAAATGTTCATCGACTGGCCTAATTTACAACCAGACAAACATATGTTTTCTGTTGGAAGCAATGCCACTTTTCATCCAGTCAGCATACTTAAAACACCAGCTGATGAGTCATATCAAGCTGTTTAAGAAATTGCTTTATTCACCCAACTGTCACCTCTCGTCAAAGTTATTACTGTGGGAGGACTTTGCAAATGTTTACATCATTTATATCAGGACTAATGAATAGGCTTTAACCAAGAAAAGTCTTCAAATAGTATCCATAAATATTGGCAATTTCTTATTGCTAGCAAGAAAACCCCCACAGAATTCATCATCTATGAAAAGTATTCATTAATCCAGTATAAAGATGAGCCTGTCTCAGAATGATAAAAAAAATACTTTGAGATAATAGTAAAGCTATGAGTTTTTCCCTGACTGTGACCAGATCTGGAAAAACTCAAGGCTCTTGTTATAAGGTCACATCGTCCGGACAAACTCCTGTCCTTATGCATGAAGCCATGTGGGAGAATGATTAGTTGTCACTCACAGAGACAAAGACCTCAGCCTTGGTGTTGTTGAAGAGAAGCGGAAGGTTCTCATCTTTGTTCCACAAGGCGCTCAGCCTCTTGGACCAGAAGGACGGTATAAAGTCCTTATACTGCAGCTGCCAGTAGAGGTTGAATACCCTGTGCAGGTCCAGTGCCAGGCAACTACAGTTGTAGACGATGATGCCCAGTTCTTTCATCTGAGAGACAACAAAGCAACCGCACAGATGTTGTACGATGTTAGCATGTGCCCCCAGGGACTCCACCCATACCCAACTTCACCCATCCTCCCCCCCTTCTCCTCTCCTTCCATTCCCCCTTTCCCATCCCCTCTCCTCCCATCTCCTACTCCCCACACTTCAATTTCCCCTTCTCCCTCCCTCCCTCGTTCTTGTTTCCTCTCCACAGCCCATTACTCCTCTCCCCTCCAGCCCATCATCTTCTGCCCTCCTCTGGCCCTGAACAAGGCAGGGACTCCACCAGGCCTCTCCCATCACCACTCACAGCGGGGTTTCAAGTGATGCACTTCTCAAGCAAAGGTTTATTTCAGTGAAGTGATAAAGATAGACTGGCTAGGTATGGTGAATGGGGTCACACTTTAATTAACCTTTGTACTTTTTCAGCTTTGAGCAGCACATGAAAGAAAGTCCACATTCCCTTTTTGTCCCCACTCAATTAATTCAGTATTGTCCTTTCTCGTATGCACGTTAAAAGGTGACGTTTTCTGCCAACTATAAAGTTGCATCTCTTTCATATTCAGGATGTTTGTGCAACCTGAGCCAATTAATGGATGCTGTTCTCCTAGTGTAAATAGCAGTGTTTGGATAAATATTGATTGCAGAGTCATTGGACAATCCCCAGAGAAGATGCCTGCAAAATATCAGACCTCAAAATCAAAAACTGGTTTTGTGTACACAGTAGGTTGGTAAAAGTGTTTATGCAATCAAGGTATGGAACATATTAGTCAGTATGAGGTGTACTCATAGGTGGACTGGTCTCATTGAATGGAGAATAAACGTTACAGAAATATACACAGGTAGGTAATATAATGGAGTGAATATACTAAGATACCGTGGACAGTGATCGCCAGTCCATGGTGGCGCTGCCGATGTAGATGTGCTGCCTGTCCACCACCCAGAAAGAAGAGTGCAGAAAGCCTTTGGTCAGGGCTGTCATGTTAATGTAGTGTACCTCACCTACACATGTAGGAAAAGACAGAAAACAACAGAGATAGAAATCTCAACATTTGATTGTACAGTGCTGTGAAAAAGTATTTGCACCCTTTCTGATTTTCTCTATTTTTGCATATTTTTGATACTGAATGTTATTGCAACGCCAGGGTTGTGGGTTCGATAGGGTCAACCCACCTGGTGGCAATTGTAACGTGGCTCATATAGCGAGGATCGCTACACTGCCCCCTCTGAACGGGAAGGCAAGTTCCTGTGATTTGACTACTCAGCCCCCTCACACGTCCGGGCCGTGCATTCCGATAGCCTCACAGCCGTCATCCCACTTCTGACACAATTGTAGCGAACGGTGAGGGAGGGAAGTGAACCCTGGTGACTGGCTTGGAACGTCACGTCAACAGGCATCACGGCAATAGGGTTAACCCTATTGGTGCGATGCGTAGGGTGTTTGCCTTTCACGCCAGCGACCTGGGTTCGCTTCCTTGCACCACCGTTCACTATAATACTCTGCAATATCCAGTATTTTCTATATAGTGGCAATATACTGTATATGGAATGTAAATGTAGCTCTGATGTTGTGGTTGACAACATAACTCACTGTGACGAGACAGGCTCTTGAGCTCTACAGAGTTGATCATTCCACTGGCGATCTTCAAATTGATTCCCTTCTTCTTCAGACCCTGCAGTCTTTGCAGCAAAGCCTGACCCTGTAACCAAGAACACAAATCAATAGGATCATCATAGGTCAGGGGTAGGCAACTAGATTCAGCCACAGGCCGTTTTGTCATAGCGGATGGTCGGGGGCCGGAACATAATTATAATAATTTCTACACTGCAAAATGACCACAAGTAAGTCCAAAAATATATTGTATTTGAAACTAACAATAATTTCATACCTAGATTACATTGAGACACAATCATACACTACATGACCAAAAGTATATGGACACCTACTCGTCGAACATCTCATTCCAAAATCATGGGCATTAATATGGAGTTGGTCCCCCCTTTGCTGCTATAACAGCCTCCACTCTTCTGGGAAGGCTTTCCACTAGATGTTGGAACATTGCTGCCGGGACTTGCTTCCATTCAGCCACAAGAGCATTAGTGAGGTCGGGCACTGATGTTGGGTGATTAGGCCTGTCTCGCAGTCTACGTTCCAATTCATCCCAAAGGTGTTCGATGGGGTTGAGGTCCGGGCTCTGTGCAGGATAATCAAGTTCTTCCACACCGATCTCGACAAACCATTTCTGTATGGACCTTGCTTTGTGCACGGGGCATTGTCATGCTGAAACAGGAAAGAGCCTTCCCCAAACTGTTCCCCACAAAGTTGTAAGCACAGAATCATCTAGAATGTCATTGTATGCTGTAGCGTTAAGATTTCCCTTCACTGGAGCTAAGGGGCCTATCCCGAACCATGAAAAACAGCCCCAGACGAATTATTCCTCCTCCACCAAGCTTTACAGTTGGCACTATGCATTGGGGAAGCTAGCGTTCTCCTGGCATCCACCAAACCCAGATTCGTCCATCGGACTGCCAGATTGTGAAGCGTGATTCATCACTCCAGAGAACGCGTTTCCACTACTCCAGAGTCCGATGGCGGCGAGCTTTACACCACTCCAGCCAACACTTGGCATTGCGCATGGTGATCTTAGGCTTGTGTGTGGCTGCTCGGCCATGGAAACCCATTTCATGATGCTCCCGACGAACGCTTATTGTACTGACGTTGTTTCCAGAGGCAGTTTGGAACTCGGTAGTGAGTTTTGCAACCGAGGACAGACAATTTTATGCGCTACGCGCTTCAGCATTCGACGGTCTTGTTCTGTGAGCTTGTGTGGCCTACCACTTTGCGGCTGAGCCGTTGTTGCTCCTAGACGTTTCCACTTCACAATACCAGCACTTACAGTTGACCGGGCAGCTCTAGCAGGGCAGAAATTTAACTAACTGACTTGTTGGAAGGTGGCATCCTATGACAGTGCCACGTTGAAAGTCACTGAGCTCTTCAGTATGGCCATTCTACTGCCAATGTTTGTCTATGGAGATTGCATGACTGAGTAATCTATTTTATACACCTGTCAGCAATGGGTGTGGCTGAAATAGCCGAACCCACTAATTTGAAGAGGTGTCCACATACTTTTGTATATATAGTGTATGTATCTCTTTTTATTCGTGGGAATACTTTGGAACAGATTTCCTAAATTAAAATTCATTTTTAGCTGAATTCCTTGTGGTCCTCTGTAGCTCAATTGGTAGAGCATGGTGCTTGTAACGCCAGGGTAGTGGGTTCGATCCTCGGGACCACCCATACGTAAAAATGTATGCACACATGACTAAGTCGCTCGCTTTGGATAAAAGCGTCTGCTAAATGGCATATTATATTATATTATTTTAGTGTTTTTATTTACCAAAAACTAAAAAATGCATTTTATTTTAATTCCATTTTTAACATTGGGCCAGGCTCCAGCGATTAGGTTTGTGTAGCCTGGAGGCCTCCCAAGTGCAATTTCTCTCCAGTTAAACTGCCAAGGGGTGCCATTAGGCCCAATGAAGTAAACGCCAGTGGGTAGATACAGGGGCTGTCCAAACCTCAACGCCGCCATTTTAGCCAAACCCCAGTGTAACTTTAGCCTCTTAAGCAGGGGTGTTTGAGTGCTAATGGCCGTCCACAATGGATGGGCTCGGCTTTGCCTGCAACCTACTAATGGCACATTCTGGCAGAAAAAAGGCCATACCCATTCTGCATAAGTCTATAAAGCCAATGTGTGAGAGATCGATAAGACTGGACTTAAGGCTGATCTTTGAAGCAACAAGAAATCAAAGCAGGTGGAATAAGGTGAACAAGACAGCATATATACTCCCTGGATATCGCTTTCTCTTATTACTTGTTTTCTTTATTATATACACTACCGGTCAAAAGTTTTAGAACACCTACTCATTCAAGTTTTTTTATTTTTTTATTTTTTTTTACTATTTTCTACATTGTAGAATAATAGTGAAGACATCAAAACTATGAAATAACACATATGGAATCATGTAGTAACCAAAAAAGTGTTAAACAAATCAAAACACATTTTATATTTGAGATTCTTCAAATAGCCACCCTTTGCCTTGATGACAGCTTTGCACACTCTTGGCATTCTCTGAACCAGCTTCACCTAGAATGCTTTTCCAAGAGTCTTGAAGGAGTTCCCACATATATGCTGAGCACTTGTTGGCTGCTTTTCCTTCACTCTGCGGTCCGACTCATCCCAAACCATCTCAATTGGGTTGAGGTCGAGGGATTGTGGAGTCCAGGTCACCTGATGCAGCACTCCATCACCCTCCTTCTTGGTAAAATAGCACTTACACAGCCTGGAGGTGTGTTGGGTCATTGTCCTGTTGAAAAACAAATGATAGTCCCACTAAGCCCAAACCAGATGGGATGGCGTATCGCTGCAAAATGCTGTGGTAGCCATGCTGGTTAAGTGTGCCTTGAATTCTAAATAAATCACAGACAGTCTCACCAGCAAAGCACCCCCACACCATAACACCACCTCCTCCATGCTTTACGGTGGGAAATACACATGCAGAGATCATCCGTTCACCCACACCGCGTCTCACAAAGACACAGCGGTTGGAACCAAAAATCTCAAATTTGGACACATTTCCACTAGTCTAATGTCCATTGCTCGTGTTTCTTGGCCCAAGTAAGTCTCTTCTTCCTATTGGTGTCCTTTAGTAGTGGTTTCTTTGCAGCAATTCGACCATGAAGGCCTGATTCACACAGTCTCCTCTGAACAGTTGATGTTGAGATGTGTCTGTTACTTGAACTCTGTGAAGCATTTATTTATTAAACTCTTATCCTCTGCAGCAGAGGTAACTCTGGGTCTTCCATGCCTGTGGCGGTCCTCATGAGAGCCAGTTTCATCATAGCGATTGATGGTTTTTGCAACTGCACTTGAAGAAAATTCCAAAGTTCTAGAAATGTTCCGTATTGACTGACCTTCATGTTTTAAAGTAATGATGGACTGACGTTTCTCTTTGCTTATTTGAGCTGTTCTTGCCATAATATTGATTTGGTATTTTACCAAATAGGGCTATCTTCTGTATACCCCCCCCCCCCCCCCCCCTCGTCACAACTCAACTGATTGGCTCAAATGGATTAAGAAGGAAAGCAATTCCACAAATTAACTTTTAAGGCGGCACACCTGTTAATTGAAATGCATTCCAGGTGACTACCTCATGAAGCTGGTTGAGAGAATGACACAAGTGTGCAAAGCTGTCATCAAAGCAAAGGGTGGCTATTTGAAGAATCTCAAATATAAAATATATTTTGATTTATTTAACACTTTTTTGGCTACTACATGATTCCATATGTGTTATTTCATAGTTTTGATGTCTTCACTATTATTCTACAATGTAGAAAATAGTAAAAATAAAGAAAAACCCTTGAAATGAGTAGGTGTTCTAAAACTTTTGACCGGTAGGGTACTTAAAAAAAATTAGTTATTCTATTTTATTGATAAGTGCACTGTTGGGGAGAGCTTGCAAGTTAAGCATTTTACTGTACTTGTGCATGTGACAATAAAACGTACATTATTTGTATTCTTGGTGGAAGAACAGTAATGAGCATCTTCCAATAAAACAGGTTTTGTTGACAAGAAAAATACCATAAGTAAAACTGCAACGTAAAGTAAGCGTTATGGCTAGGTGTGATAAACAGTAATGCTTTACTTGGCCTGGGGGGCTACCTGATTGGTTGCTTTGCTTACCTGCCTAGAAGATTGTAGGAAGCTGGATTCATAGTCGGAGGAGTTCAGGTTCCATTGAGGTGACACAATCTCCACAGAGTGACCAGCCACGGCCATGTCCAACAGGCTGTGCAGCCCAGCAGAGAGGGGGAGGTGGGCCGTACCATTCTCAGAGAAGGTAACATCTTCTGGAATATTCTCCACAAGCACTACCCTGAAATTAAAAAAAAGTGAAAAACATCCTCATTTAATGATGGCAAATGGCTGTTTTTTAGGCTTGTAATTGAAAAGACCTGAAAGCCAGAGAAGTTTAATTAAAGAAGCCCCCAAAGTATTCTTCTAATAGAGTCATTTACAGCACAGAGACAATTATGCCTGTCTGCATTAGCCACAGAATCACCCGTCACTTGTGCAGCTGCCTTGGGATGTTGTAAAATTAGGTCATATGCATTGACGTTCACCTATGATTACCTCCTACACTATATTTGAGAACATTTTCCGTCTAGGCATTATCACTGAGATGGCTTGTAGTGGTGAATAGAAGAGTGGCTGGACTGCTTTCTCACAGGAACACCGTGGCAGAACTCTAATTGAACTGTAATACATTTTCCAGGGCATCATCTTGCATAATTATCTCTGCATCCGGCTGCTTTCAAGTAAAGTGAATTATAGTATCATACATGTAAGGGAAATGAGAGATTCAAAGGTAAAAAGACTTCTAAACCCAGCTAGTGAAGTCCCAATACCAATAGTCAGTCATCAAGCCTGGGTTCAAATAGTACTTGTTTTCTTTGAAATACTTAGAGCAACAGATTGAGTCTGCTTGGATGGTCAGGGTTTGCAGTTTTGGGATTATTCCATTGGTTCCATTGCATCAGGCAGGCTCAATTACGCACAGTTAATGTATTTAAAATAATTTGAACCCAGGTTGTAGTTTTTTCTTTACCCCACCAGTTGGCACTCCAGTAGGAAATCTCTAATTTCCCTCTCGCTCTCCGAGGCCAACATGAGTAAAGTCTTTAATCAGGTTTAATACTCGCAAGGCCGCGGGGCTGGACAGTATTCCAGGGCGCATTCTCAGAGCATGCGCAGATCATCTGGCACGTATATTCAAGGTCATTTTCAACCTCTCCTTGTCCCAGTCTGTAATCCCCACATGTCTTAAGATGGCTTCATGCCACAATGACTACCACCCTGTAGCACTCACATCTGTAATCATGAAGTGCTTTGAAAGGCTGGTTACGGCACACATCAACTCCATCATCCCAGACACCCTAGACCCACTTTAATGTGCATACAAGCACACCCCCATCCACATTGACGGGGCTGCAGTGGAGCAGGTCAAGAGCTTCAAGTTCCTCGGTGTCCAAATCACTAATAATTAAAATGGTCCACTCACACGCGCACAGTCGTGAAGAAGGCGCGACAGCGCCTCTTCCCCCTCAGGAGCTTGAAAAGGTTTGGCATGGGCCCTCAAATCCTCCAAAAGTTGTACAGGCTGCACCATTGAGAGCATCTTGACTGGCTGCATCACTGCTTGGTATGGCAACAGCACCACCCTCGATCACATGGCGCTACAGTGGGTGGTGCGGACAGCCCAGTACATCACTGGGGCCGAGCTCCCTGCCATCCAGTATCTCTACATCAGGCAGTGTGAAAGGAACGCACGTAAAATCTTTAGACTCCAACCACCCAAGCAATAGACTGTTCTCTCTGCTGCCGCATGGCAAGCGGTACCGGTGCATCAAGTCTGACACCAACAGGCTCCTGAACAGCTTCTATCCCCAAGCCATAAGACTGCTAAATAACTAACAGAATGGCTACACAGACTGAGTTGACCCTTGTGTTTTATTTCTGCACCGTCTGTATGCACACACACACACACGCACGTACACACACACACACACACAATCATTTACGCTGCTGCTACTCTGTTTATCATATATCCTGAAGCCTAGTCACCTTACCCCTATACATATCTGCCTCTATCACTCCAGTATCCCTGCACATTGTTAATATGGTATTGGAACTGACCCTGGAACTGACCCTGTATATAGCTTCTTACTTTCTCATGTTCTTACTTCTTATTTTTATTTGTTGTGTATTTTTGTTCTACCTTGTTAATTTTAGTGCTCCATTGATATTGATTAGGGCATTTTGGGGTTTGGAGCTTTAAGAAAGGCATTTCACTGTGACATTAAAACTTGAGATACATTTTAGAAACACATGATGTACAGTTGAAGTCGGAAGTTTACATACACCTTAGCCAAATACATTTAAACTCAGTTTTTCACAATTCCTGACATTTAATCCTTGTAACAATTCCCTGTTTTAGGTCAGTTAGGATCCCCACTTTATTTTAAGAATGTGAAATGTCAGAATAATAGTAGAGAGAATGATTTATTTCAGCTTTTATTTCTTTCATCACATTCCCAGTGGGTCAGAAGTTTACATACACTCAATTATTATTTGGTTGCATTGCCTTTAAATTGTTTAACTTGGGTCTAACGTTTCGGGTAGCCTTCCACAAGCTTCCCACAATAAGTTGGGTGAAATTTGGCCCATTCCTCCTGACAGAACTGGTGTAACAGTCAGATTTGTAGGCCTCCTTGCTCGCACACGCCTTTTCAGTTCTGCCCACATATTTTCTATAGGATTGAGGTCAGGACTTTGTGATGGCCACTCCAATACCTTGACTTTGTTGTCCTTAAGCCATTTTGCCACAACTTTGGAAGTATGCTTGGGGTCATTGTCCATTTGGAAGACCCATTTGTGACCAAGATTTAACTTCCTGACTGATGTCTTGAGATGTTGCTTCATTATATCCACATAATTTTCCTTCCTCATGATGCAATCTATTTTGTGAAGTGCACCAGTCCCTCCTGCAGCAAAGCACCCCAACAGCATGATGCTGCCACCCCCATGCTTCACGGTTTGGATGGTGTTCTTCGGCTTGCAAGCTGTCCCCCTTTTTCCTCCAAACATAACGATGGTCATTATGGCCAAACAGTTCTATTTTTGTTTCATCAGACCAGAGGACATTTCTCCAAAAAGTACGATCTTTGTCCCCATGTGCAGCTGCAAACCGTAGTCTGGCTTTTTTATGGCGGTTTTGGAGCAGTGGCTTCTTCCTTGCTGAGCGGCCTTTCAGGTTATGTTGATATAGGACTCGTTTTACTGTGGATATAGATACTTTTGTACCCGTTTCCTCCAGCATCTTCACAAGGTCCTTTGCTGTTGTTCTGGGATTTATTTGCACTTTTCGCACCAAAATACGTTCATCTCTAGGAGACAGAACGCGTCTCCTTCCTGAGCGGTATGACGGCCGCGTGGTCCCATGGTGTTTATACTTGGCATACTATTGTTTGTACAGATGAACGTGGTACCTTCAGGCGTTTGGAAATTGCTCCCAAGGATGAACCAGACTTATGGAGGCCTACAACATTTTTTCTGAGGTCTTGGCTGATTTCTTTTGATTTTCCCATGATGTCAAGCAAAGAGGTACTGAGTTTGAAGGTAAGCCTTGAAATACATCCACGGGTACACCTCCAATGATGGAGTGACTGAAATGATGTCAATTAGCCTATCAGAAGCTTCTAAAGCCATGACATAATTTTCTGGAATTTTCCAAGCTGTTTAAAGGCACAGTCAACTTAGTGTATGTAAACTTCTGACCCACTGGAATTGTGATACAGTGAATTATAAGTGAAATAATCTGTCTGTAAACAATTGTTGGAAAAATTACTTGTGTCATGCACAAAGTAGATGTCCTAACCGACTTGCCAAAACTATAGTTTGTTAAAATAAATTTGTGGAGTGGTTGAAAAACGAGTTTTAATGACTCCAACCTTAGTGTATGTAAACTTCCGACTTCAACTGTATACTGAGATCATGTGACAGATCATGTGACACTTAGATTGCACACAGGTGGACTTTATTTAACTAATTATGTGACTTCTGAAGGTAATTGGTTGCACCAGATCTTATTTAGGGGCTTCATAGCATAGCGGAATACATATGCACGCACCACAAACAAGTTATTTTTTTCATTTGACTTCACCAATTTGGACTATTTAGTGTATGTCCATTATATGGAATCCAAATAAAAATCAATTTAAATTACAGGTTGTAATGCAACAAAATAGGAAAAACGCCAAGGGGGATGAATACTTTTGCAAGGCACTGTATATCAGTGGCTTAGGCTGTCATAGCAACCTGACAACAAACACAGATCATAGCTATAATGAACACGGATGTACGTCAAACTGTGTGCTGGGCCACAAGTAAATCATCAAAGCTAATTGATCATAGCTAATTGAATTAAATCTTCCAAGAATGTCCCACATCTGCCAAGAATGTGTTCTATTTCAGTTTCATAGAAACACCATGCAGTACATTTCGGTACATTGCAAAATCAGTCCAGGTATCATGTAATTTGGGTGACAGAGAAGAGTTCCTTGCTCTTCTTAATGTTTCAAACCCCATTCTAGCCCAGCAGAAGTGCTGAAAATAAGGTAAACATATTGGATTTAGTGTGTCAGCCTGAGTGCTTTAGAGACACTGCATGCTATTATCAAACCTGAATGGCTGTGAAGGATCGGTTTCCTCCTACTTTTAGCCATTGGATAAAGGAAGTCATGCAACATCTCAAGCTAGAGAAAATGTGCTCCTCCCATTAGTGGATCTGCAATTATATTCTACAGTGAGGGAAAAAAGTATTTGATCCCCTGCTGATTTTGTACGTTTGCCCACTGACAAAGACATGATCAGTCTATAATTTTAATGGTAGGTTTATTTGAACAGTGAGAGACAGAATAACAACAAAAATATCCAGAAAAACGCATGTCAAAAATGTTATAAATTGATTTGCATTTTAATGAGGGAAATAAGTATTTGACCCATCTGCAAAACATGACTTAGTACTTGGTGGCAAAACCCTTGTTGGCAATCACAGAGGTCAGAAGTTTCTTGTAGTTGGCCACCAGGTTTGCACACATCTCAGGAGGGATTTTGTTCCACTCCTCTTTGCAGATCTTCTCCAAGTCATTAAGGTTTCGAGGCTGACGTTTGGCAACTCGAACCTTCAGCTCCCTCCACAGATTTTCTATGGGATTAAGGTCTGGAGAATGGCTAGGCCACTCCAGGACCTTAATGTGCCTCTTCTTGAGCCACACCTTTGTTGCCTTGGCCGTGTGTTTTGGGTCATTGTCATGCTGGAATAC